GTGCTGGCTGTGCTTCCCCCCAGATTTGCATTTGAGTAAAACAGATGAACTTTCCTCCAATTCAAACACTGCCAGTTTTGCTGAAACCCCCCAACTTTAAGCTGTCTTTGAACAAGAAAAACAGTGTATTGGAAGTTGCATATCGGTGACTTCATTTTTTTTATGGGTAAAGCTTGAGTTTGCAGCAGTATGTACTCAGCAACTTTCTGGAGTGATAAAATAATCAAACTGCAATACTGCCCTGCCACCAGGAAGTTGCAGTCCATGGGAGGTAAAAATCAGTTCTTGGATTCTAGATTTAGCAAGTGAAGCCGGGCGGGGGGGGGGAGGGGGAGGGGATCATTGGTGTTTATATTGTGTGAGAGATAGGAATGATCTGAGAAGAAATGTTTTCCCCAATGCAAATTTCTGTCTTCTCAGCTCTTTGAATAGAGAAAGGACAGGCCCCATCACAATTCAAAGGACCCAGTGTGTGAGTGTGCATCATTCTTAGGGAAAAAATATATACATGAGATAGTTTAGTTTATAATACATAGGAGAAGTTTAGTTTATAATGAAGCTATCTGCTCATAATCCAGTGGACCAGGGGCATGAGCAGTGCTGTCCTTTGAGACAGTGTTTGAAATTCCCATTGTTTTAGGCGCATTTTGTGAAACGGAATTTCATTAGTGTGAGCAGTTCCTGAGCTCCGGGTGCAGGACTGCACCTAAGATTTCAGATTAAAACTGCAGAGTGGAAGGAGAGGAGGAACTTTTTCTGGCTCCCTACTTCCAGCTACAGGGACGCAGGTGGCGCTGTGGGTTAAACCACAGAGCCTAGGACTTGCCAATCAGAAGGTCGGCAGTTCGAATCCCTGCGGGTGAGCTCCCGTTGCTCGGTCCCTGCTCCTGCCAACCTGGCAGTTTGAAAGCACATCAAAGTACAACTAGATAAATAGGCACCACTCCAGGGGGAAGGTAAACGGCGTTTCCGTGCGCTGCTCTGGTTCGCCAGAAGTGGCTTAGTCATGCTGGCCACATGACCCGGAAGCTGTATGCCTGCTCCCTCGGCCAATAAAGTGAGATGAACGCCGCAACCCTGGAGTCGGCCATGACTGGTCCTAATGGTCAGAGGCCCCTTTACCTTACTTCCAGCTGCTCTCTGAAGACTGGAGAAGAGACCCTCTTAAGAATATTAGAGGGGTGGGCAGGGGAAGGACTAGACCATGTGAAAACTGAACATAATATTTTAGCTGCAGTTCATTCTTTTTCAGCTTTGTATTCTTGTTATTAAAATAGCACGCCTAGACATTCTGTTGATGCGCCCATAACCTAGGTTTAAGGTGTCATTTAGCTCCTAGCTTTCATATCTCTTTTTCTAACACTGCTTTGAGAATGTCGATCTGGGGGTGCCCATGCTAGAACCTTTATCTGCTGAAGGGCGCTTCACACACACTTTACTTAGAAGCCATTTGGAGGACGTGCATCTGAAGAGGCACATTTCCCAATTCGTCCCTCCCCTCTAGACTCCAGACTCTTCCTGCATCCCTTTTCTCCAACTTTAAACCCGATCAGCATCTGTGTGCTGTTCTCGGTTATCAATGACCAGGAGCAGCATAAATATCAATATGCAGCTCTTTGGCCCAGCTGGCTTTTGGGACAGAGTGTGTCAGACTCACACTCCTTTACATAGGCCTTCCTTTAGAGTGTATTGGGGCTTATATAGCTGATAGGTGTACAGTGATGTCTTTAATTGTAAGTTATTGTTAGGCTGCATGTTACATTGTTGTGACTAGCCCTTCAAACTTTTGTGATGAAGGGTAGGAGAGAAATCTCATAAATAAAAGAACTTTACTGATGAAAGGAGTGATATATACGGTATATATCAGAAAAATGAAATGGTACTCCCTTTCAATATATCTGACCATTTCATCCCCACCCATCCATCTAGGTGCTTTGCCAGTCTTGATACAGGTAGCATAATTTTTGGAAGGTTAGTGTATTAGATCAAATAACCCTCCCCTTTAGGCTCCAGCCAGTGGTTTGGGTTAGGAGACTGTTAACAGAAGAAGAAAAATAAACCTCTGTGGGAAATCTACCAAACTGTAGCTCTTTAAAAATGTTTTAAATGACTTCTGTTTTGACTCAAAACGAGACACCAACCCACAGAAGAGTAGTCTTCTTATTCATAACTACTACATCCCAGTCCTCTCTGATTACCAGCAGTTTCAAGGCTAGGTCAACATAACTTGAGGCACACAGAATTAGTGATATGAGCAGACATAGCAATTCCAAGTGCCCTTTTCTCTATTTCTGTCTCCTAAACTACTGACCAAGCATGCAAACAAAGGGGAAAAAATCTGTAGCAGTGACTTCGGCACATAGTGACAAGACCAGCATGCCAAATGTATTTTAGGCTTTGTTGGACAGTAGCATGTGACAGCGATGCAGCAGAAGTGTGCACAGTAGAGGCCTGTGTCATGGGGCACAGCCATCTTCCCTGATACCAACTTTACTGCTGCTTTCCTGGATGGGATGATGGAGCTGCTGCTGCTGCAAGGCCAGGGCCCACAGCTACACCAGTGAAACTGACCAAGTTGCAATCTGGCCCATCTAGGGATGCAGCAAAGGATGGCAGTTTTTAAGGGGGGAGCTCAGCTCCACCACAAGTACTGCTACCGAGTGCATGTGTGTAGTGGCAGTGAGAGGGAGAGACCCGCTGAGAAAGCGAGGAAATCATGTTCGCCTATATTTCTAAGGACACTCGCAGGCTGGAGAAGAAAAGTAAATAGGTTATAGATGGAAGAAAAGAACCCCTAGGAGGGCTTCCAAAACTGGAGGTAAGTGGAGAGAATAATCTTGCTGGTATTCTGAGCTTTAAGGAGTGGTATATCATTCTCCTGCTTTAGTCACGCAGGGAAAGCACCCAGCATGCAGACATTTAAGAACATTTAAAGGGGGAGGCGAGGCTTTTTATTGCTCATTTCCAACACCATCTGCATAACTTTCTGTCCCAAATAATCAAGGCTTTCCATGACGTAAACCTGCCCACTGCATCTTGTTTTCCTATTTCCTTTAATGCGGGGAGGGGGAACTTCCAGCCCTCCAGATCTTGTTGGACACCAGTTTCCATCAGCCCCAGGCAGCCGGGCCAATGTTCAAGGATGGTGAAAGTTGTAGTCAAACAGCTGGCAGGCCACAGGTTCCCCGTCCCTGCTTTAAGGCAAGGAATGGCTCAGTATATGACTTGAGGAACCACTCAGCTTCCTTCCAGCATCTCTTCTGCAAATATCCCCCCTGCCTGGAATGCCTTACAACTCCCACCAGCCAAAGCCAGCACAGCCAATGGTCAGGAATGATGGGAGTTGTAGTTCAGGAACATCTAGAGGGTACTAGGCTGGGGGTGGCTGTCACAGTCTCTTGCTCCAGGTTGCTTTGCACTTGCCTTCACCTATGAAGACATTTTGGCTGTTCAAAGGTCTTGCCATTTAGAGTGAAATAAAAAAGAGGATTCAATGCTGTCCAGGAGGATTCAGCACTGCCAAAGTTTTCCTTAGCAATATTGGACACTGCCCAGCTGCTTTTTAAAAAACAAGGAATGCATATGTGCTTTCTTCAGAGCTTTAACTAAATGCAACCAGTGTCATGATAGAGTAGAGGGTTGTGTGTGTGTGTGTGTGTGTGTGTGTATGTAAAGCAAATTATAACCTCTGTGCCTCAAGTTGTGCTTGAAATAGCACAGCATTTAAAGTCTGAATGTGCTGCTGTTTTGAGAACTGATGCAAGGTTTTGAAAAATGACCCGAGAAGAAAACGCAGCTCTGCAAAATAGGGGAATATAATGTTAGGTCTAATCCAGCCTGTGCCGGATTTACGTATAAGCTAAACAAACTATAGCTTAGGCCCCCGCTCTCTTGGGGACCCCAAAAAAGTTTAAAAGTATTTCACTATTGATATACTTCTTCTTAACTGTATTTCAGTTCAACAATTACTTTGATAAAATACATATTTTGTTATGTGCAAATGGCTTTAGATACCTATTAGGTCCATAAATTACCATATAGCATATATTCAACACAAAAAAACAGCAACAATTTGTTGTTGACAGAGGACAGCTGGACATATAAAGGGCCCCGTTACCTTCAGTAGCTTAGGGCCTCATCAAACCTAAATCCAGCCCTGAATCCAGCACCTCCTTCATGTGCCCCATAGATCATGGAGAGCTCTCAGTGCATAGGGAGAATGCCAACAGTAAAGGGAGAATAGGGTTCAGCAGCTGGGGGAAAGATTGGCCCCTTAACCAAGTTATTACGTTCAAGCGGATAGGGAAATTCACAATAAATACAAATTGGTAGCAATTTTTAAAAGTTATTTAAATTTAAGATATGCAGCTCCCCTAAACCTAAGGCCAGCTGGGAAGTTGCACTTAACATTCACTTCCAAAAAAATGCAAAAAAGCAGATGGGAGGGGATCACATCAGATAGGGAGGGACTGCAATGGACCTCATGAAAAGTGCTCATTTGAGGTTACTTTTTGCAGTGGGAGGGCATCTTATGTTGCCACATGTTAAGTACAACGATACATTTTCAGCCATGTCTAGTTTGGCCTTTAGAGTAAGTGATGATCCCATAAAAACTAAATGTTAGGAGGGAAAAATATATTAAAACCATTATATATATATATATATAAGCACAGAATAATTGAAAACATACTGCTGAATCCTGCTTAGAGATTCCAGGCTTCTGGAAGATGTTCCAGCTTAGGAAGAAATAAGAAGAGTGTTTGTTGCTGAAGAGAAACCAAGGAAAATGCTTTTCAGTGCACACTTGAAGTGAGAGATAAAAACAACACAAAGTTCATTTTATTGAGGATACATAGGGGTAGAAAAGCGGTGCCCCATCTGGATCCTGTGGCCTGAAGTAATCACTTTATGCTACTTTAGGGTAAAGCCAGCCCTAATGCCCTCTCTCTCTCTCTCTCTCTCTCTCTCTCTCTCTGTGTGTGTGTGTGTGTATTTTGAGTATCTAGGATATATAGCAACCAGAAATATTGAACTGCATCTGGAAGAGAGCTCAAAGACTGGCCAAATGCTTAGCATACAACATGGTCTTGTGCACAGAAAAGATAAATACTGATCAAAGCTTTTTAAACATGCATCTCATTTTTTTATTTAGCAAAATTATACTGACTTTCTCTGGTGGAAATAGCAAAGAAGCTTGCTTAGGACAAACCTTAGTTTCTAAGTCCTGTTACTATACTTTTACTCCTGCCTCAGTTTTTAGATATAGTAGCTTCAATAGCTAATCTTTGGGTTAACTATATGAGTTCTGTGGTCTTTCTGAAACTTGCAAGCTACACCATCTTTGTACCACTTCAATTGGCATATATTAAGGTGTCTTAAGAGTCAGAACCCAGTGGTCCTTAATACTCCCTCAAAATCAGGATTCCAGAGGGAAGGAAACCCAATTAGCTAGACTTGAGTAGTGTGACAGCTGACGTTTCAAACTATTTTTGAGTCAGAAGAATCCTCATAAGGTAACTATCTCCATTAGTATCAACATGGATGAATAAATTCTGAATGATGCTACACATCAGAATTTATCAGGAGCAACAAGGATCCTTCATGTAGTTACCTTCAAGAAGGAGAAACAGCATCCACTTCAATGGATCACCAGGTTGCCAAATGGACAGCCCAAAAAGATGTGGTGGTGACAGTCATAGACATGCCAATAGTTGCTCAAAGTCTACTTGCAAATTAAAAACAACAACTCGTTTGAGCTTTGGGTGAGACTTACAGTGCTTCCTGTAATGCCCCTTGCAAGGCGCTAATTCTATTTCTTGCATGAAGATGAGTGGAAGAAAGAGAACAGGATTCCTTGTAAGGAAGGACTGGGAGTTTCACCCAAAGCCCAAATGAGGTTGACATCAACGAAAGCGTAGTACTTCATTCTATCAGGAAAACAAAATTTCTCACAACCATAGGCTATGGACATTCGCACAAATCAGATATCTGGCTTTTAACTCCATTAGTTATTCATATAAGTAGTAATTCATATGTTTTCCATTTGGCCATTAGTACTTATTTACTAAATAGTGCTTGGTGTGGAGGAAAATAATTTATGAACTATCCAAGTAAGAATCAATTAAGAGCAACAAACAGCCCATCATAAAAATAACTCGTACTGCAAAATTAACTGAGGGTTGGAATATGGTGTTATTACTTGGCTAACCAATATTGGAGACCAGTTCAAATAATATGAAACGAGACAGCACTGTGCCCACAAGTTTGGGAGAAAAGAATGAAGAAAGCTGTGTGCAATGGACCCACAGAAGGAGCAGGTGATGAAGGCATCTCATTCACTAAGACAAAGCTGCTGAAAATAAAAGCAAAGCCTAGAATGGTTCCTGCACATTTGTGAAGAGAGAATTCAGAATCTTTTCTTTCTGTTTAGGGAAACGAGCACTGAGCAACCTGCTCTCCAGTGGACTCAAAGGAGGAGTAGAAGGTACTCCAACTGGGTCATTCACTAAGATGAATCTCCTGGAGAGAGAGAAGGAAAGAAAGAAGACAGATCACCAAGTGATAAAACAGTTAACACTAAGGAATGCTGACAATGGGACTTAAAAACAACTAGTAATCAAAAGCAGGGACGGAAAAAAATACTTGGTTTTCATACTGTACTATATCCAAAGGTTGTGTCTCATAACGCTGAGAACCGTTGTTAGCAATAGCGATGACATGTAAGTGCAGAATTATGGGGCTCATAATGGTAAACGGAAGAGTCAAGACTTCCAGTTCATTACAAGCTGAGACAAAACTCCACTAAAGTTCAAGTCTGGCTCGTAATGCGTTTGCCTGGTGCCCATGTATCCCAGAACTGAAACTGCTTCCTCCGTCTACCCCTTACCTTGTGATGCCCATGGTAACAGAAAGGCCTCTTTGCAAGGCCTCTCGCTCCCTGGAAACAGGACATTGACATGGCAGCAACCTAGGCACCAGGAATTATGGGAAATGTGGTTTTTCAGGGCTCCTAAATATTTACTGTGGAATGCTGGATTATCAGCTGTTTCCAGAGGCTTTTTGCACCAGGGATGATGGTGACTGTAACTGTTAATTATGTAGCAATGTTTAAATTATATAGCAGGGCAGTCCAACACGCAGCCCTCGAGGCCTTTTTGGGTGGCCCTCAGCAAGATTTGATGCCCCACCCCGCAGCCCTCATACTGCCTTCCCAAAGCTGGGTAACCGAGGCACTGGGCTTTGGGAATGAGGTGGGATGGCTCTAGGACCCTACCAGAGCCTTGTGCCTCCTTTCCATGGACCAGTGCCTTGCTTAGCCGGCTTTGAGAAGGGAGCTTGGGGATAGTTGGGAGGTGTCAAATTTGGGCCTTGCTCCCCCCCCGCCCCACGACAAGGCAGTGTGTGGCCCATGGGGTCTGTGTTGAAGTACAATTGCAGTCCACTTGGCCCACCCTGATGTACAGTATATACACTATGTATTGTATGTACAGTAGTACCTCAGGTTACATACGCTTCAGGTTACATACGCTTCAGGTTACATACACTTCAGGTTACAGACTTCGCTAACCCAGAAATAGTGCTTCAGGTTAAGAACTTTGCTTCAGGATGGGAACAGAAATCGTGCTCCGGCAGCGCAACAGCAGCGGGAGGCCCCATTAGCTAAAGTGGTGCTTCAGGTTAAGAACAGTTTCAGGTTAAGTACGGACCTCCAGAACGAATAAAGTACTTAACCTGAGGTACCACTGTATATGTATATACCGTACTTTTCTGTGTATAAGACTATGGTTGTTTTTTTACTCTAAAATAATGTTCAAAGTCTGGGCTCGTCTTATACATGGATAGTATCTCCCCCCCCCCCATTTTCTTAAATTGGAGTCCCCCCAAATAGGGGTGTCTTATACATTGGAGTGTCTTATAGACGGAAAAATATGGGATAAGTGCATGAATGTACAACAAATGTGAGGATGAGATCTCCACTGTCTCCCTTAAATAACTCTACTGGAGAGATAGGGTTATTATTGTACCAGCACTATCTCTGCAATTAGGCATCTTCACAAAGACTCCCATCTGGATTCAGGAATGCTCTAGGCTGAGTATACAGTATACCTTTAAAGCACATTTGTAGCAAAATTTCCTTGCAAAGAATCCTAGGCATTATTGTTTTTTTAATAGGTTGTTGGTATCTCTGCAAGGGGTAAGCTACTGTGATCAGAATTCTTTAAAGGAAAGAATGTGCATTGTACAAAAGTACAATGTGTACACAGCCCTAGTGACATCACTGGAACATGCTGGCCTTGCACTAATTTTGTCCAAGAGATCTCTCAGAACTCTGTCACCAGATTTTTTTAATAAGTGTCCATAAAATGTTCTGGTGAATTCTGCCTGTCTGTCCAGTTCAGATTCCAGATCTGCACATTTTAGTGACAATGAAAAATAGTGTAATCCCTGTATGTAATATAATCTAGTACAGTGTTTCCCAACCTTTTTTGGGCAAAGGCACACTTGTTTCATGAAAAAAATCTCGAGGCACACCACCATTAGAAAATGTTAAAAAATTTAACTCTGTGCCTATATTGACTATATAAAAAGTACAGTGGTGCCTCGCAAGATGAAATTAATTCGTTCCGCAAGTCTCTTCGTCTTGCGAGTTTTTCGTCTTGCGATGCACGATTTCCCATAGGAATGCATTGAAAATCAATTAATGCGTTCCTAGGGAAACCGCCTTCAGACCAGGTCCGGGGACAGTCTGTCCCCCGACCTCTTCTGAAGGCTGGGGGGGGGGGAACAAGGGCTTTTCTTCCCACTGCCAGCCTTCAGAAGGCTGTTCTGAAGGCTGGCGGTGGGAAGAAAAGCCCTTCTTCCCACCTCCCGCCCCGCAAGCTCCGGGGACAGGAGGGCTTTGCTGCCGACCGCCAGCATTTTAAAAGCCCCTGCTGTCCCGGGGCGATTTTAAAATGCTGGCGGGCGGGAGCGAAGTCTCCGCTGCCCCGAGGAGATTTTAAAATGCTGGGGTCGGCAGCGAACGCTTCGCTCCCGCCCGCCAGCATTTTAAGATCGCCCAGGGCAGCGGAGAAGTCTCCGCTGTCCCGGGAAGGCAGGCGGGGGGAGCAAAGACTTTTGCCCCCGCCTGCCTTCAGAAGAGGTCCAGGACCTCGTTCCGATGCCCGGCGGCGGGGTGCGAGGTTCCCACCCCACCGCCCGGCATCGGGGCATCGTTCCGATGCCCGGCGGCGGGGTGCGAGGTTCCCGCCCCCCCGCCCCGCTTCGGAGCAGCGCTCCGAAGCGGGGCGGCTGGGGCAGGTGTTCCTGCCCCCCGCCCCGCTTCGGAGCACCGAGAGAAGCGATCTCCCCGCAGCCCCTTGCTTCAAAAGAGGTCCGGGGGCAGCGGGGAAGAAGCGCTGCGCTTCCCGCTGCCCCCGGACCTCTTTTGAAGCAAGGGGCTGCGGGGAGATCGCTTCTCCCCGCAAACCCTTGCTTCAAAAGAGGTCCGGGGGCAGCGCAAAGCGCTTCCCGCTGTCCCCGGACCTCTTTTGAAGCAAGGGGCGGTGGGGAGAAGCGATCTCGGGCGCCGCGGCGCGCAGGCGCACTGCTCGCTCCTCTTTCCGCGCAGGCGCCTTCTCTCGCTCTTTCGCCTCCTTTTCTTTCTCTCTCGATGGTCCGCCTACAAAGGAGCGAGGGAGGCGCCCGCCATGTTTGGATTTGCATCCAGCAGGAGATGCCGCCGCCGCCCCGCCTCTCCCGCCTCCCTCCCACGGCACACCAGGCAAGGTCTCACGGCACACTAGTGTGCCGCGGAACACCGGTTGGGAAACACTGATCTAGTAAACCAGCATCTATAAACCAATGCATTTTCTGTGACAGCATTTCGCTAAAGGAAGCAGAAATGTGAATCTTCTTCCATAATCACACAATCCATTCTTATTTTTATTTTTTGCTTAAAAAGCAATCAAACCTTTGTTGATTAGAAACAAAAACCATGGTGAAAATCAAAGTTCTTTCTTCCATGAAATGAAGATGTGATGCTGCCTTCTGTCATCAGTAAGACTGAGAAGAAGGGCACAAGGAACTGAGGGGTGAACAGAATGGCAGGACCTAGTTGGCACAGGAACAAATATTATCTTCCAAACATACCCTCTGGCTGGGATTGATTGAGTTGGCTGCAAATTCTTCTCTACATGCAGGCTGCTTATTTTGCGTTCCTTATCGAACTTCACCTTAGGACGATACAATTTTATGTCTACATCTTGAGTGGTTGGAGTTCCCCAGGCCAACCTATGAATATAATAGGTTACACTGGTCTCTAAAATAATGCAAGCCAGAATTCTTAAAAGACACAGAAGCATAGTTTGTGAATATAAATATTAATTTTTAAAAAACAAAAAACCTCTAGGTGGTTTGATCTGAGACTGCAATCCTATGGTTACTTAACCTGGGAACAAGCCCCAATAGACAATGGGACATATCTTCAGGAAAACATCAACAGGATCAGCCTCTGAGCTTTTTCACATGATAAGAGTGAAATGTGCACCAAGTGCATTTAATCCTTTGTCTAATACTCCCTTAGGTCTCAGTGCCAGGATGCCAGCACAATATCCCCTCTGCATATAATGAATGACCTGGACAAGATAGCCATCCTGTTGTCCCCATATGTTTATTTAAACCTAGCATAAATACAGAGCCCTGAAGAGAAATGTGGGGAAAAGCAAATTGAAGGGGGGTGTCTAGCTCTGCTAGATTTGATGCCCTTTACTAACATTTCAGTAGAGTAGCTCAGTCACTTTAACTTCAGGGCAATAGAACTTTGGTTTGTATGAAACACTGCAAGATGTTTGCAAGACATTTTATGAGGAATTAAGCTAACAAAAAAACACAGAAATGTTTTAATGTTTCCTCTACCTGTAAGGGAATTCTCTAGGGAGATTGATTGTTGTTTCTTCCATCACTGTGTATGGACGGCCCTGGTGTTGTCTGTAAGGCTTCATCCAGGCAAATAAATTTTCAGGGAAGTTTTCAGAAGATTGTAGATTTTGATCTAGGTAATTAAGACGAGGAGAAGAAACTCTAAAAGGATGAACATGCTCCACATCATTTGTTAAATTTGCTCCAGTGATTTTCAATCGGACCTAAGCTCAGTAAACTTTCTCTGGGTTGTACTCACTGAGTTCAAGACTGCTGTTTTATGTAAATTTGTGTATACCCATGGAGAAAAATACCAAACTGCTGATACCAAGCCTTATAAACATACACTTTCATGTATTATCTGCATTTCTTTTCACACTGAAGCCCTTTTTGTTTGTGAGGCATTGCTGTACTGGTATTTTTTCACAAAAGCAGCTGCCAGTCATGGGGCACACTGTATGGAATACAACACGGTATTTCCCTTGTTTGTGGGCCTAGTTTAAACAGGATGATGGGTACACAAGAAAAACTTACCTGTGAAACATTACATGTACCTAGAATCTCATTTAAGTCAGATCTTATTTCCAGTGTGAAATGTTAGCATCCTATGAATCTGTAGCCAAGCAGGTTGGTGTGTTAACAGTGTACATGCATGCAATGCTTGCATGGTTAAATCCTTACTGCATACATTTAAAATGGCTTTGTTGTTGCAGAATATGAGATTCTGGATAAGAATGAATATGTCCTCAAGCAAAAAAATAAAAAATAAAAAATGAGCTTGTCTTCAAGTAAAAAATCATACCTGTGATAAATATTATGGCCTAAGGGAATGAAATGTGTGTTTTTATAAAAATTATGAATTGTTTAGGAATTTTGAGATATGTTATGAAGGCATGTAATAAAGGTGAGTAATCTACCGCTTTGCCTATTTTAAAATACACCAATCTGTGTTTAAAATACATCAAGTTTTCACTCAGCTAACCTGTGATGCCTTGTTCACATTACTGAGCCTGCTCACATGTGCAAGGATGCAAGTAAAACTGCTATAGTTCACTAGCAAAATAGCTCACACATCTGTTTTGTGGTAGAATATTGTATAACTAGAAAAATACTAAAGGGAAGCTTTTGTTTTAATTATCAGATCTGTTCAGTTGATGTCATCTGTCTGCGGTGGCATGGAAAGGGTGTGCACTTGACTTAAAATTGCCGGTGCCATAATTATATAGAATTGAAGGAAGGCCCTCGGACATGGCGGGATTTGTTCCCTCTCAAATGGATGCCTCAGATGTAAACCACATGCTGAGCCTTCCTTGTCACTTAGAACAGAAGCCATCATCAAGTAAACCAAAGCTGGAAACATGCTGGCAATGAATGAATCATAACTTCTAAAACCGATTTGCTTTTTATGTTGTCTAGATTTAAGCACCAAAGAGAAGTAGAGGGTAGAAAGATGGTTAAGACCTCAATCAATGGCCTCAAATGCCTGCCCAATGTAAAGAGCACATTTAAGAAAACAGTTCTGTTTAGTCATGGTTTTTGCTTTAGTCTGACACCTATTTCATGGAAGAACCATAGAATTGTAAAGTTGGATGGGATCCCTTACAATCCAGTGAATAACAGATTCATGGCTTTGGAAAAGGATCCCAAGGATCATCTAGTCCAACCCCCTGAAGTGCAGGACTCATTTTTGCCCAACATGGGGCTCAAATCCTGAGATTAAGAGCCACGTGATCTACCAACATTCCTAATGCCTCCCCCCCCCACCCCACGTTCTACATTTAATAACAATGTGTTAATGAAATCAACCTCCTTACACTGCAGGGAGTTGCTAGGTGTGAAACAGTGGTTCCGGGAACATGACCTTCTTGCATGTTCTTGCATCAGACGCCGCTCCTCTGCTTGGCGAATTCGTTCATTTTGCTTCCTCCTCCAGGCCACCACCCTAAACAAAGTGCAAAGTTATATGCTGCTGTGAGTTTTGTTTGAATTAGGGCTGGGGGAGGAATCCAATGAGCTGTGGTTCCCAAGTGGACACACATGATCTTATCTGCCTGGACTAATGTGAGATCAGGGCAGGAGTTCTCTCCAGTTTTCCATACCAGGTGATTTGAGGACTGCTTGTCAAAGAAGTACCGTATTTTTTGCTCTATAAGATGCACTTTTTCCCCTCCTAAAAAGTAAGGGGAAATGTGTGTACGTCTTGTGGAGCGAATGCAGGCTGTGCAGCTATCCCAGAAGCCAGAACAGCAAGAGGGATTGATGCACAGTGATCCCTCTTGCTGTTCTAGCTTCTGGGATTCAGAATTTTTTTTTCTTGTTTTCCTCCTCCAAAAACTAGGTGCGTCTTATGGTCTGGTGTGTCTTATAGGGCGAAAAATACAGTAATTTCAACTGCCTAGGAGTGGTTCGCTATTGCACTGAGCTCCTGCTGCCACACATACTGAAATCAATGCCACAAGTCCCACTGGGAATCATAAGACTTGATGATGTGCCGTCACTTTCAGTGGGAATTCTACATATTCTCTGTCTCTCTCTCTTTCAATTTCCACTCATGGGGGATTTTATTTAAACTTCACGCATTCTTAAGGGGAATTCTAAATAAAATATGTAAAATGCACATAAAAGTCTCCTTAAGGCTAAGGGGAAATTGAATGCAAATGATGCAAAACATACATAAAAACCTGAGACTTGGAGGCATGTCAAAATCCATCGCCCTCAGCTAGACTTGTCACCTTGATTTCTGCATGCAAGGCAGCAATAACCCTGCATGCCAGTCAAGCTGTTCCTGGATGGCTGAAATTACTTTTGTTGGGCAGATGGTGTGTTGATGGAAACGATTAAGGAGAGCATGGTGGATTAAACTAAGACGGTAACATTTGAATTCCTTCCCAAGGAGCTGTGCTATATACAACCAGTGCTAACTAAGTAATTAAAGTTTTGAACCCTTTCATCAGGCATTTGGCTGTGGGTATTTATATGCTTGGGACGCGGGTGGCGCTGTGGGTAAAAGCCTCAGCGCCTAGGGCTTGCCGATCGAAAGGTCGGCGGTTCGAATCCCCGCGGCGGGGTGCGCTCCTGTTGTTCAGTCCCAGCGCCTGCCAACCTAGCAGTTCGAAAGCACCCCCGGGTGCAAGTAGATAAATAGGGACCGCTTACTAGTGGGAAGGTAAATGGCGTTTCCGTGCGCTGGTGCTGGCTCGCCAGATGCAGCTTGTCACGCAGGCCACGTGACCCGGAAGTGTCTCCGGACAGCGCTGGCCCCCGGCCTCTTGAGTGAGATGGGTGCACAACCCTAGAGTCTGTCAAGACTGGCCCGTACGGGCAGGGGTACCTTTACCTTTACCTTATTTATATGCTGCTGCATTAGTTTCCATTGAATTTGATTTCGTTGTTGTTTTAACAGAGCGATCTTAAGGTAGTGCTGATCTATGAGATTCCACAACAGAGGAACCAGTACTTCCTAAGCCACTCCATTTCCCTCACTTTGACTGGCACTAATGGGAAGTTTAATAACTAAGCCAGCTCCAGGGATTGCACAGAGTTTTGACCTTTCATGAGGGCCACTGGGAAGAAGGGATGTTGAGTCCAATGGATCCAAGACACCCTTGACACATTTCTGCAATGCCCCCTTTTTGTGTTCACTCTGCTGTCAGAGAGGGAGGTTGGCAGCATCCAATAGCTCCTTGAAGGCTTAGGGTTAGTCCCTAATTAGTATTTTATTAATACTGTGTTGTATTCAATTTACTTTTCCTCAGAGTAGACCCTTTAATTTCAATTGATTTACTCCAAGTAAAAGCCAGTTGAATACTTCCCATAGTATTTTATGGTTTAGCATGAGTCACACAGAGCATCCCTAGCGACAGACAGGCAGATTATTAACATTTAAATACGAATTAATTTTTAAAACTCTGTACCTTATAATATCTCTTTCATAAGAGGTCTCATAACTTTCATTTTCCTGCGGGACGGTCTTCTTTCTTGGATGGGGCCTATGAAATAAAAAGATTTATAAATAAGTCACGTTTTAATGCACTGATGCTTTATGTAAGAACTAACTAACTAACATCATGTGGAAACTGATTTATGAAGCAATTGTTTATTAAGCAAAATTGATTGAATATAATATGTAGGAGTACCTTTTCTTAGCTCCATCTGGTTCACCAGCTATGGCCATGCCTGGACAGAGGTAGCCTGACCATTGTAGTTTGTGTGTTTGTAACCTTAAGGCTGGATTACTGCAATGTGCTTTATGTGGGGCTGCCCTTGGGCCTGGTTCAGAAGCAATCATGGCATCCTCTCACATCTTCTCCAAGAGAGAGAGAGAGAAAATACAAAAGTACAATACAACGGAAGAGATAGGACTGGCTTCCGTTCTCACACTTTCCAAGCATGGAATGTAAACACAGACATGTGATGTAATAATCACACATCCAGCAATGGGAGAGAATGAAAATGCTGACATCCTCCCCCTTTTCATGGTAACCGTTGCTGCATTACCTAACGCAGCCATACACAATCAAACATACAGTCGTTATGTATATAACAGACTCCTGAAGTGCTTTCCCCATCTGTGGGATCACTTTCAAAACTTGCATCAGCGTATATCTCAAGACCTCAGACCACATCCACCAATGGGAGAGATTGAAAATGCTGACAATAGCCATCATAGATATCAAGTATACTACGCATCTTCTTGATCCTATTTTAAACTTTTTATTTTCTAAATTTGTGCCCTACTGACCGGATGATGCAACCACCATCTTCAGGCTCTGAGGAAAAGCTCCGAGCCTCTTCTCAGCTTTGCAGAAGCCGAAGAATGCAAAATCAGACAATGAGTACAGGCAGCATTTTCCCTCTAGAGCAGGCTTCTTCAACCTTGGCCCTCCAGATGTTTTTGGCATACAACTCCCATGATCCCTAGCTAGCAGGACCAGTAGTCAGGGATGATGGGAAGTGTAGTCTCAAAACATCTGGGAGCTGAGGTTGAGGAAGCCTGCTCTAGAAGGTGGGGCCTACAGCAGAAGAGGTGTTGTCTGCCTCACAGTTGGCTCTATGTTGACAAGCATGGTCCAGTCTCTGGGAGCTATCCAAGGTCCTAACCTGTTTAACCTGAACTTGAAAGTTCTGTCATTATCCCCACCTAACTATTCTTGCTGTGACTCTACCAGATGTGGCAAGTACCTATGACTGAGCCTGCTGTGATAACCACTAACATGATGCTAACTGCTAAGCTTCCCCTGAGATAAGACTTGCAGTCTTGAAAAACAGGATAGAAAGCAGGGGACAGGATCCACGCAGAACATCAATAACCAAAATGCAGAGCACTGAATAAGCTTTGGATTTGTGTAATTGTATTCAGAAGTAATAATACAACATTTAATTTTTACAAAATTTAAAAACAAGTGCCTTGGTCCTTGTCAGTTACACTGGCTAAAGAACTGATTGTAAAGCTTCCTTTTCACAAATAAAATGGCTGGAGATTTCTTTAATGACCGGTTTGGGACCAGTTTATCTACCAGCTCACCTTACCCCACAGGTGCCCACTCGACCACTTAAATTGGCAGAATCTGCACCACTCACCAGCGCTACATAATACCTGTATCGCATTTGTAAGAACTTGAATGTTAAGTGTGGCAGTACCTACACTTTGGAAGTTCCTGCCTATTGATATCCAGCAGGCAGCTCCACTGCACAAAATTTCTGTGCCTGCTAAAACATTCTTGTTCTGATAAGCCTACCCAGATGCATGGAACGTTGAGGTAATTTTAATCTGTTTTAGTATTTTGCTATTGTATGTTTTAAACTATGGTTGTAATTTTTTCTTGATTTTTAAAAATCACGCTTTGAGGATTTAATTTTCTTTCTTTTTTAAGAATCAAGTGGTGTATACATTTCATGAAATAAATAAATAAATAAGCTGAAAATTCGGGAAAGAGATATGGAGAAACCCCCGAGGCAGCCATGTCTTGACAGCTCTACCTCTCACACTGTGGCCATGGGTATAACCCAAGCAGCAACAAATTCCATTGCCCATTCTCCTTTGTATAGAGCCATGGCAGGTTTTTCCATTTAAGGGAGGAACATTTAAACTTTTGCAGATTATGCAATCTGTTTTATTTAAGCCCTGAACCGTTACCTAAGGTAAGTGTTATAGTATAGATACGTGTCTATACACAAAGCCATTTTGCTTTTCATAGCTACCAGCTAAATTCATTCTTTATAGTCAGTCTTCATGAGTTCTTTCTGAGTCACACAGTTTACTACTTACAGGCATGAAATCCTAACTGAATCTATGAATCTCAATTAAAAAATTGTAAAAGCAAAGATTGTAAATGTCTGTCATAAATAATAGTTGGTGCCCATGAAATGATCACTCTGCTTCATGGGAAAATAAAAATAGACAAGGCATAAATTCCCACAACATACTGATATTCACAGCTGGCAATGAATTAGACTTCTAGGAATCTGTGTATTAGAGTTCACAGCACTCCATTATACATTTTTAAGTAGACGAAAAAGGAATGATAGCTTTAACTCTGCAAGTGTGTGTGTGTGTGTGTGTTTTACTCCCTCATGGAAAGAATTGATTCTGATCCCATCCCCACACACCCCAAAGACTTTCTTTTCTTTATAATATTTTATCTAGAAAATGTAGATCAGGAGAAGCTGTGAAATACACTTTGCATTTTGTGTTCTAAGATACACATTGTCACATGCATGCCTGCACTTTAGAGTCCCAAATCCTTTTTTTCTATGAACTTTTAACTACAGCTTTGTCACTGGACAGGCTTCAAATTAAAAACAAAACCAAAAAACCATCTCCGTCACATTTATTTTTTGTACCTTGGAATATTTAGTAAAGTTTAAACGGCTTCTATATTTTGGATACCTTATGTGATAGATTTTTCTACTTTACTGAACTTTATTTTAGATGGGTCTCGGAGCACCCTGTTCACCTGAGCTGAACCACAAGGACCGAGGACGTGGTTCTATATAGTAAATGGTGGGATTCAAACAGAATCATTATTCACATACTCATCCTACCCTGAACTTTAGAAGCAGTTTCAAAAGCTCACAGGATGAAAGCAAGGGCTACGGCAGCTGAGAAATGACCACAGAAAGCACCACTGCATGCATGATTAAAAGAATTCTCTGGATGTTTGTAGCAGAAATGCAAACCCCCAGGCCCTTATCATTCATTGTGCAAGCAAACTAGTTTGAAATTCACTGAAGGATCAAAAAAGAAGAGAATAGCTTCAAGCAAATAATGAAAAATATATCCAGCTTTCCTCCACAACAGTTGTTGATTCATCAAACAAAATTTAAATAGCAGCACTGACTTCTGATTGTTTTTACAATACTTTTTCAGCATGTACAATTCTCTGTAAAACACTCTATCTATCTATCTATCTATCTATCTATCTATCTATCTATAATGTATGATATATACAGTATATCTGGTTATAATGACAAGAGAGGAATATTTCTGACATCTGGCTCAGGTTATGCTCTATAGCATAAGCTGCTCTAATTACATTTCCCCCCTCCAACATTTATAAATATTTTAAATCCTAAAGAAATATTTTACTCTGACTACACATCAGCCACAGAAATAAGGACCACATATGTGTTGGCTCACCTGTCTCAACTTCCATTACCTGGTGGCGGACAGCCCATGTTTCTCCACCAACCCCCCCACAAGGAAAGATTTGTTGTTTCACAGGGAGATGGGGAGCTCCATCGGTAGTTAATGCCTTGACAGCCTTACCTCTCAACTTTAAGCTCTCTTTCCTTAGTGAATGCCCATCCTGGGCTGGGCTTAGTGACCTGTAACTCAAAGCTACCTGGGCACAAAAGGCCACAAAAATGGTCTCTATATTCCATTCTTTATCCCTCATCCTGCAACCAACTCCAGAAGCTACCAGCACTAGAGGAGACCACTGAGAGTAACTTATGCTGTGATAGTGTGCTTAGTATAGGATAAATATTCTGATTGTTTAATTTTCATCCTGATCATGCCTACTCTCTGTTTCTCTCCCTTACCCCATTTTCTATACTCCTTTAAAATAAGCTGCTCAGTTAGATTTCTGGGTTGTGCTGGTTTACGGGCACACTCTAGGGGTGGTGGTCCTCACACCAATGTTACTTGGACCATGGGGTATGTAACCAGTGGTTAAAATGCCTCAAAGAGCTGGAAGGGTGTGTTTTTTTAAGAGATAGAGAAGGCTGATCGTCAAAGAATTGATGCTTTTGAATTATGGTGCTGGAGGGGACTCTTGAGAGTCCCATGGACTGCAAGAAGGTCAAACCTCTCCATTCTGAAGGAAATCAGCCCTGAGTGCTCACTGGAAGGACAGATCCTGAAGCTGAGGCTCCAATACTTTGGCCACCTCATGAGAAGAGAAGACTCCCTGGAAAAGACCCTGATGTTGGGAAAGATGGAGGGCACAAGGAGAAAGGGACGACAGAGGACGAGATGGTTGGATGGTGTTCTTGAAGCTACCAGCATGAGTTTGATCAAACTGCGGGAGGCAGTGGAGGACAGAAGTGCCTGGCGTGCTCTGGTCCATGGGGTCACGAAGAGTCGGACACAACTAGACGACTAAACAACAACAACAAGACCTAGAGGGGAGACTAGCTGAGGTTGCCAAACAGAAATCTTGGAATTTCTTGGGAGACAGCTGCTCCCAAGAAGACCATCACAGTGCAGTTGTAATTATTCACCCCTTGCCTTGGGGGGACGTGGCCAGTGGGTGGTGGCAAGTGGAAAGGGAGAAACAGGATGGGTTACCTGTTGCTAGTGAGCTACTCTACTGGTTGATTGCTGTAGCAGATGAAATAAATAGTGTTGCTGCCCGCCACAAGGCATGAGCAAACCATCTTGAACACAGCAATGTAGAAAGGAAGTATACAAATGATAATGAAATGGGAAACAAAATCTTGTTCCTTACATGTGAAAAAAAATACATGTTTTAATCATACTTTCATCACAAATACCTTTTGTCAGCAAGTACCAAACCCTAAAACAGACAAAAACAAGACATAAAACAGAGGTTGTAAATTTTAAAATAACGATCCTAACAGCTGTTTACTTAAGCAGAAAATGTAGATGTTCATTACTTCTACTGAAGCCCTTCAAGACCCAGGCTAAATTGGTGCACTCCTTAGGAAAGATTATTCTCCCATTGCCCCATTTAGATGCACACCATCACTAAAATTCCTAATATAACTAAAAGTAAACATGCTCTGTGAATCTTTACGTAACCACATGGAACCATCCATGCACAACTGAGAGGCTTGGGGAATCCAAACATTGGTAGTATGTGTTGAAGCAAAGGTGGGCCTGTTCCAGAAGCTCTGCAAACCCTATCTTGGTAGTCAGGATAAGCCTGAAACTAATTTTTAGTTGCAGCAGCAATGAGCTCCCCTGTGTTTATGCACTTGCTGTGATACATGGTAATTGGCTTGCTTTGATGTTATGCTTATCTGTGGACCCTGGGATCTTGGCTCAGACAAGGGCGCTAGCTATAAGCCTTGGATAGTTGCCACCTATCCCCTTATGGGCCAGGTGGGTTGATGGGAGGTTCTGACTAAACTGATGTATGATGCTTTGTGTATAAAGAATGTATACACATTTGCCTGGGTGAGGACAATTTGGTTCTTGACAAGAGGCAAGACTACCAATGACAAAACTACCAAAACAAGAGGAAATGTATGGTATAAGTGGAGGAGAGACCTTTTCAGTTTTGCTGTTTCAAGTAGTTTTCAAAATTCCAAAGCATAACAGCAATCTTTCAAAGCATAACATCCTGGTAATAAATTTTAAAACATACAATCAATCCCAGTATTCTGAATACAAATACAGTATGCCATACCTCAGTCCCAAGGGCAGGGAATTGTTTTTGTCCTGGTACAAAGAGAGAGAGAAAATCAGGAACCAAATCAAGCATATGTGGTTCATCTTTAGCCATTAATTGATATTACCTAAATATCCTGCTCTGGAATAGGATGAGACAAGCAGTCTATTTTTTCTTGCCTGTTATACACAAATGAAACCCTCTTTCCATATGAAAGTAGGGCTTTTCACTGCTGCTGAAGGTCAGAAAACAAACAGGGACCAGTCTGCTAGGCTGGGTTCAGACATTCCTATATAAATCATACTTTAAACAACCATGGCTTAGCATTGTGTGTGAACCAAGCCTTGTTAATGGTGTGGCTTGGAAATGTTACGAACGCACTCATGAATACTTTATGTTGCATTAATAGTCTAATGAACTGGCACTTTCCCCCCAACAGCCAGAAGATCAGCTGAGCGGAATTTAACTCAAAAGACACTCCTACTGGCAAAGGAGAGGAAGCAACCTTAACTGGTAAAAGAGGTTCACCTATGAGTCACATGCTGACAGCACTATATATAAGCTCATTCCAGAAAGAAAAAACATTTAATGAGTTTGATTAAAGCCATTGCCTTTATTCAACTGATGAGATCAGCAGTTCATATTGTATAGTATTGTAAATATTATTATATTATATTATATTATATTATATTATATTATATTATATTATATTATATTATATTATATTATATTATATTATACAGCTATTCTACTTTCATATCTTTCAAGCAGAAAGAACAAAACATTCTCCGTGGTGCTTCATTCAATTACAGAGGTTCAGAATATTTGATACTGTGAAAACTTTAGCCTGTCAGAATGCTACACAAATTTTCAACCTTCAGAAAATACAGTGGTGCCCCGCAAGACGAATGCCTCGCAAGACGAAAAACTCGCTAGACGAAAGGGTTTTCCGTTTTTTGAGTCGTTCTGCAAGACGAATTTCCCTATGGGCTTGCTTCGCAAGACGAAACGTCTTGCGAGTTCTTGCGAGTTTGTTTCCTTTTTCTTAAAGCTGCTAAGCCGTTAATAGCCGCTAAGCGCCGCTAAGCCGCTAATAGCCGTGCTTCGCAAGACGAAAAAACCGCAAGAGGAAGAGACTCGCGGAACGGATTAATTTCGTCTTGCGAGGCACCACTGTACAGTGGTACCTCGGGTTACATATGCTTCAGGTCACATACACTTCAGGTTACAGACTCTGCTAACCCAGAAATAGTGCTTCAGATTAAGAACTTTGCTTCAGGATGAGAACAGAAATCGTGCTCTGGCGGCACGGTGGCAGCGGGAGGCCCCATTAGCTAAAGTGGTGCTTCAGGTAAAGAACAGTTTCAGGTTAAGAACAGACCTCCAGAACGAATTAAGTACTTAACCCAAGGTACCACTGTACTTGTGATAGCAATTATAATTTTAAAAATAGTATAGGAATTAAAAACCTTAGCTTAGTTTCTTTTGCCCTTCATTTGTTTTGCCTGAGTATGATGTTGTCAAACTGGTGGAGAGAAACCCTTTTTTTATAATGAGCTTTACGTTACATCACAATAGCAGGAGCAGCGTCACTGGGTGGAGGGGAGTGTACTGTGATGGAAAAGTCCATAGAGACAAAATTTGGACCAACAGCCACCTGTAACCTGGACCCCAAGATGGCTTTCAGAGGAAGCAGCCACCCCATGTAAACAGTTTTAATTGTTTTTAACCTTAGAGGGCATGGGATGTGAATTTCAAGCCAATGACCAATCTTTTCTTTTTGCTAAAGTAATCCTTGTTATCTTCAATGAGAGCACTGGGAGGTATTTGCCATTTGTCAACAAACTTTTCTCACCAAACAATCACTCTCTGTTTAATGATGCACCTGTGCCTTTGAAGTATTAAACTCTTCTGGCCAGACTTTTAACCCTATAAGGAATCTAAGATGGTGAATTTTGGACCCACTCTTAACATATGGAGTGAATTCTAATTTCAAAAGAAACAACAGTCGGTGCCCATACAATGGTGGGAATTTTGGTAAAATCATAGACTGGCTTGCAGTGTTGAACTTGGCCCTGATGGGTGCTGATTGGACAGTGATCCAAAGAGAAACCCCTGCCCTCCCTGTTGCCCCTTTTCAAAAGAGACATTTTTTTCTGCTTAAGGAAGTATCAGAACTATTCCATCCAGGATAAGCAGTTAACCATTTTAATATTTTGGATTTCAGCTTAGCGGCTGCTTAAGAATGTTGGGCCAGCTTGCTGATACTAATCACCATGGAAGCTAGAGTCTATGCTTTTTCTGTTTTTCTCATTCTGATTCCCTCACTGAGGTGGTGGAGGAAGACTAATTGAGGATCCAACCCAATTAAAACATGATGACTCAAAGGCATTCTTCAGTGGATCCAAGAATTCCTAGACAAGAGCCACAGTTCTTCTCCCTGGAAGAACCAGGAGAAATTTTTTACCCTTGCCTGTTCTTTCTCTCATTCTTTCTGCTGCCTTTGACTGGATTAACATAGAGAAGCTGTGCCTGAAACTATGAATCATGAATATTGATAGGCATTTGCTTGCTTGCTTACTTAGAAAGCCTTTATATGGCTAAAACTTCAAGGTCTTAGGGTCAGCACTCAAGAGACAGCACTAACTACAAAAGGGATTAACTATAGTCATCTCTTACCTGCTTTTGTATTTAATCCATATCTACATGATTATATACCCCGGAGCATTTTGGGGTATTGGCCCTCTGCACAAATTGAATAAATATACTCTTTAATTTAATTTACCCTGCTCCAGAGTAAAACTCCTACCCAAGTTGTCATAAGTGGCACAGATTTGTAAATCTGTAGCAAGTGCTGATGGAAATTTCACAGAATCCTTTTCAAGGCAGGAATCCTATACACTAGCTGTCTTCCCTAACTTGGTGCCCTCCAGATATTTTGGATTCCAACTCCCATCAGCCCCAGACAACATGGCTAGTGGTCATGGATGATGGGGATGTAGTCCCAAATACCCAAATCTGCTATACACACATATCTGGGAGTTAGTTCTACTGAACTCAATATATCTTACTTCTGATTAGACATTCTTAGGATTTCACTGCATGACTGCCAGCAGCCTTGATTAGAGCAGAGGTGATATTCATGCCCGTGAAGTTCCACATTCTTACTATCATGATCAATGTATCACTATAAGCTTCTAAAAATTGATGAAAACGTAGTTCTGGGGAAATGCGTCTGTGAGCCAAGGAGCAACAAACCCAAAAACAGTTCAGGTTGCATCAGTGGCTACAAGCACATGCAACTGCTCTCTCTGAAAATATAAAGGTGAGCAGTTATCTGGTTCTGCCTTTAGCGCTACTTGGAACAGAAGCAAATTAGCTGCCGACAAAGGCTTTCATGCCACCACTAGGTACCAATAATGGTGTACACACAGAGAGACACAAAACATTGTTTGGAAAAACAGAATGTCTCCTCCATTCTATTTAAAAAAATATTACAAAAAATATTGTATAGCAATCTATATAAGAAGAGTCTTTTCTGACCCCACGCCAACTGTTTCTAATATCCAGACCAGGCATAGGCAAACTCGGCCCTCCAGATGTCTTGGGACTACAACTCCCATCATCCCTAGCTAACAGGACCAGTGGTCAGGGATGATGGGAGTTGTAGTCCCAAAACATCTGGAGGGCCGAGTTTGCCTATGCCTGATCCAGACTGATGAAAGATGTTGATGAAACTGCAGCCCACTAACTTCAATTCGTCATTAACTTTTTAGTTGGTTCTAACAGTAGTTGGAGGTTCTACTGTTACTTTTGATTATTATTTTTTAATGAAACAACATGGCTACCTGCCATTTTTTTAATACTACATATCCTTCATATATCTCCTTCTTAGCATTTTGAAACATTAGATTACATACCACTGTGAATTTAAGTATAGTGTTGAGGTTTTATAAATAGAATTACTCATGAATTCATACAGCTATGTAAGTGCTAAACTTGGCCTTCAGTAAATTTAAGGTCATGGTGCTTAGTATTAAAGAAAATACAGAGTATTTATTTGTGTGGCTTTTAGCCACAATTCACCAGGCATATTACTATGCTTCTCTTTGGCAAGAGGATGACCGTGACATTCTACAGCAGGAGTAACCAAACTGTGGTCCCTGGACCACCATGGTCTGTGAGCTTCATCCAGGTGGACTATGGCATGTCTTGCATTAACTAGGCATATTGTTTTTTAGTTGTATTTTTATTGCTTCTTTTCTTTCTTATATTGCATTACATGTTGAATTTTATGATATACAAATTGCAATACAATAAAATACAATATAAGAAATGAAAGAAGCAATAAGACTATAGTTTAAAATCATACAGCATCTAGCACAATGCATTGCAATTGGTGTGACAAGTCAGAAAAGTCATTAAGTGGTCTGCTAAGACCCTCTGCAATTTTCAAGCGGTCCATGGGGGACATGGTTTGGGAACCACTGCTCTACAGTGTTCAACAAGTAACTGCATTCACAAATTTCACATTTCCCAAACAGTGTAGCCTATGCTCCATCTTCTGGTTATTTATGGTAACTGTACAGCGTAAGGCTTTTTCCTAGGAACTCAAGTGATCACCAATTGTTGCAACTGGTAGAATAACCAATGAAAAGAAGGCAATTGTAATTATAATAAGATGGTGGTATCTCCCCCACTATTGCTATGTTAGGACTGCTCAGTTAGCCTGGATCCAACCCACTGAATCTGAAATGGAAATGAATGAGGCAGAGGAAAAGAACTAGTTTATACAAGATTCCTAACATCTTACCAACAGAAATAGCTGATTGGGCACATGAGGCATATGTGTGGTCTCTAGATCTCATAGCACTCTAGAGGGCAAAAGAGAAGGAAAGTCATTTTTCCGCATCAAGCATTCTGCAGGACAAGCCATACAGACAATCATGGGTGCACCATGGTTGAGATGCTGGAAGAAGCTTATTCTTGGGCACTCCCACCCTCCCACCCTCCCTTCCATCCATGGTTTGCTTTCATTTTGACACCAACTACATTAACTTATAACCAGGACTTGCAAATCCACTTTGCTAATTGTGAGAGTTGTGGTTCCACTGCACTTGTAACTCCAGTAGTTTCAACAAAAGCATGGGAATGGTCACTTACAGTCCACCATTGTCAAGCAGTGGTGTTGCAACTCCTGTGGCCAGAGGCTTGGATGCAATGTGAAGGGTCATTTGCAGTTCGCAAGCATGCCCATAACTATCCCAGGTGCACAGTGAGAAGTACCAACACCACTGAAATTAAGTTCTTGGCTTGCATTTCCCCTTCCTCACTTCACCCAATGCTGAACCAGCCATGCCCCACGTTCTAGCAGCAAGCTGTATGATGCAGAAGTGCTGCATTTGGGGGCAGACTCTATGTATACTCGTTTCTTGAAGAAAATTAGCTAGCTCTCATTTTTGCTGAAGCTTCCTTCATTCCCCAATAATATGGACCTTATTATTTCTTTTAAAAAATAATCATAATGCCCTGCACAATTTAAAAGACAGGATGAAAAAAAAGTGGGGAGGTATGGAAAGAGAAATAAAAAGAAGCCAATTTGGGTTCCAAAGCTTTCTCCTTGCACAATGACCAGTTGGAACAGTCGCCAAGGAGACAATTCCAGAGGAGGAAGATCAAATAGCAGCTTATCCCAATCGACTCAATGGAGTGGATGCGGTGCCTTACCTGTCTGTCTGCTGCAGCCAGGTGGAATGGCTGGCAGTATCCAAGAAAGAGATTAATATGTAAAATTAATTAAGAAATTAATATGTAAAAGGTATCTTAGTATACCCAAGCCATATTATTATAAGTGTTCTCTATGGGGGAGGGGGGAGTGTCTCTCATGCAAAGTTACTATGTATATGACAACATACTTTCTTTCACCTCCACCCAACAACCAGCAATTGAGTTAAAATTATAAATATCCAGATAATGTTTTCGTTTGTTAGAATAACAAAAAGTACCTTTGCAAGCAAACTATTTTTTGCATGTTTGGGTGTCCGCATCATTTTGAGACTCATCCTTTCTATTTTCAGGAGCTTCTTGGGCACGAGCTTCTTGGGTTCCTAAGCATATCACGAAGATTTTGAAAAATTACACAGCATATTTCATAACATCACATAATTCAAATACCTAATCTTATAAGAAACATGATATAACTAGTTGTCCCAGTTAGAAACCCCATATATCGGTGGTGGCCAAACTTGGTCCTCCAGCTGTTTTTGGACTACAACTCCCATCATCCCTAGCTGACAGGACCAGTGGTCAGGGATGATGGGAACTGTAGTCCCAAAACAGCTGGAGGGCCGAGTTTGGTCACCACTGCCTTATATTCAAACACTGCAAATGTAGTGCGCTGCTTCTTTCTGTTAAGCATCTCACCTTACCCCGATCAAATGAAGCTCTTCCATTGCAACAGCAACACTATCACAGGCACAACCAGCACCTGGGAAATGAGCCCCACCGCAGAAAGCAGCACAGTCCCACCTTGAGGTACACGTTGATGGGACATACCTTATATCCTCAGGGCAGGAACACAGCCCTGCCACAGAGATGTGGCTATGGCCACAGAGGACAGTGTGCCACTGTAGATGGCAGCATTCATGAGTCTTGCACCAATGCCAACTTTAGGGCCAAGACCAATGCTTTAGAAGTCATCTGATACAGGCATAGAAGAGATGCTAATGCTGGAAGTGGATGCAATGTTCAACTGGCATGCCTGAATAATCAGGCCACATCTCTCTCTACTCAGGATTGAGCTGGATAGCTCAAAATATGCCTCAGAGACCTTCACTGTTTCCTTAACTTCAGTGGGCCCCGATGGCAACTTCCATGTGTCAAACTAAGAACGGACATGAAAAACCAAAATCATACTGATTGCATGTTACAATCATGTGATGGATACAATGTTCTTTAGATCGCTGTTCAGTGCACAATGAAGTGAGTGGGGAGGGGGAAATATCTCCTCTCACTGTGCATTGCAAAGTGACCTATCCTTCCATATCACTGAAACTACCATTTCATTGCATAAAGGTAAAGGTAAAGGGACCCCTGACCATTAGGTCCAGTCCAGTCGCGGATGACTCTGGGGTTGCGGCACTCAACTTGCTTTATTGGCCGAGGGAGTCGGCGTACAGCTTCCAGGTCATGTGGCCAGCATGACTAAGCCGCTTTTGGCAAACCAGAGTAGCGCACAGAAACGCCATTTACCTTCCCACAAGAGTGGTACCTATTTATCTACTTGTACTTTGATGTGCTTTCGAACTGCTAGGTTGGTAGGAGCAGGGACCGAGAAACAGGAGCTCACCCCGTCACGGGGATTTGAACGGCCGACCTTCTGATCAGCAAGCCCTAGTCTCTGACACAGTGCCACCCGTGTCCCGTGCATAGTAAGCTCTAATTTAAGTTTTGCCCCATGCTGTGGTTGTGTTACCAAGCTTAAGAATGATACAGCAGAGAAAGAAAGAAAAAAACTTTTAACATTTTGGAGATTACAGTAAAGTGGACAAGTAAAAAATTAAGACAATTGTAATTTTCAATCAACCTCTGCTGTGAAGTACCAAAATCTCAATAAATTGGTGTTGCTGTATCTTTTAAGAATCACCTCCTTGTTGTTCTGTCTAGCAGAGAAAGTGAAAGGAGAGTCTGAAGCTAGCAGAGAGCTGTAGGCCTGCTTTTGTTTTAAGTCAGGCATTGGCAAACTTGGCCCTGCAGATGTTTTGGGACTACAACTCCCATCATCCCTACCTAGGTAACAGGACCAGTGGTCAGGGATGATGGGAGTTGTAGTCCCGAAACATCTGGAGGGCTGAGTTTGCCTATGCCTGTTTTAAGTGTTTGTCTTGTTCTTGTTTTATACTTTTGATCTCCAGAGAAAGATAGCTGAGAACTCATGCTACATTTGGTGTGAAACCTATACTTCACATCAACACTGGGATATTTATGTAGTAAGTTAGTAAGATAGTGTCAGGGAACTGCCATCAGTGCAGGAGGGAGAGAGCAAAAGCCAAATGGATTATAGGGAGCCTCCAAGGATCATGGGAAGTAGCTCCTCTTCAACGGAGGAGAGTAAACACGGCTCCAGTGGAGAGGAGGTGCAGGAGTCGGAAGTGATGAGGTGGTCCCAGGACTCCTTGCCTGGGAGAAGCGGGGAGGGAAGGGGTCCTCCGCTGCCCACGCCCTCTTTGCACAGAAAGCATTCGCGCAGAGAGGGGAGGCACAGATTGGGCGTCAAGAAGCTGCTTTGCTGGGGAAAGTTTAGGAACCTCCCATTCACGGATTCTGCCAGCGATTGAGTCAGCCATGGGAGAGTGGTGCTCCGGACAGATAAAGTTTATTTTGGCAGCAAAGCCAAGACTTCACAGCCAAGTAGGGAGATATTTACCTGCTTGCTCCCGAGCAACCCCTTGGAAACATAACAGATAGCCTTTAGAAAGCACATACCCAAAATCATCCCTGTAAATTAGGGATATAGTTTGGCCAATATTAAGTATCTTTATGTTTACTGTTTTCAACTAGAGTTAGTTATGATCAATGCTTCTGTTTAAATCAATAGAATTTAAACATCATTAACATGAAAGAAAATATTAAACAGGATGATTAATACCTTTACATGCTTGAATAGTCTGTCTTTGCCCAAATATCTTTCTTTGGTTGTTCCATAAATTAAAGAATCTACAAAAAATGATGAAAAAGCCTCTCAGTTTTATGAGTCTTCACACCAGTTACATGAAAATAAAGGGTTGGATCTAAAGGTGCCCTTCTGGGATGTCCGGGTTGGCGCCAGCGCCGAATGGCGGACTCCCTCCGAGCTCCGGAGGGAGCCTGCCCGGCAGGGGTCGGGTCCCGCCGCGCCGGCGACGCGGGGACCCTTAAAAACCATGGGCGCGGATGCCCATGGACTTGGTGACTCGGCAGGCACCGTTTGCGCCCCCGACCTGCGAAGGAGCCTTTTTAAAGGCTCCGGAGCGGGGGATGGGGGGGTGGCGTGGTGCTATGAGTCCTCCGCTTCCCCTGCCGAGCGAAGCCGCATGCCATTCGACGGAGAGCGCTGACTTCTTCTTTGAAAATCTGGACTTAAAATAACAACCCGTGAGTAATCTGGAAATTGGAACTAAAAGGGAAAATGTTTTGGGTTTTTTTTGGAATTCGGTACGAGCGGGGGAAGCGCAAAAAGGAAGTCCGCCCCCTCCCCTATTGTAGACAATTTAAAGCAAGGACCTGACAACTAAGGTCGAGAGAAGAGCTTGCTCTTTTTTTATTGATAAAAGCTATTAATTTCACGATGGGAAACTACAAGTAACTGTGCTGGAGGAGAAGAGTGGATGAGTTAAAATGCAACCCCCCCCCCCGGGAACCGGGAGAGATCCGTGAGAGAGCCTGGTGAAGAGATATAGAGATTTTGACAGCTGTCAAAGTAGCTGTCAAAGTTGGAGAATAAAAAGAGAACATTGTTACGAGGACTTTGCTGGTTAGATTTGTTACAATTTGGATATAAATTGCTGAAAATAAGGGAAACAAGTTAGCTGGACTTTTGGGTTTGATTTGGAAGGAAACCAAGTTACCACAATCCCCCTAGAGGGGCTTTTGGACATTACAAGAATGACTGTAAGTGGGAAAATACTCATGGAATGGGACTGGACTGTTTTATCTCCTGGGAAAGCTGCAAAATCGAAACATTATTTTGTCTACAGAGGTTTCAACACTAAAGGAGACAATAGATTTATCTATTGAAGAACGGAAGGGACTTGACGTAAGTTTTTGTTCCTGAACAAATAACACCTCTGTAGAGGAACCAGAAGTTTTTGAACTAGTATGTTTTTGCAGCGCAACAGGAAAAGAAACTTGAGGAAAGAGAACAAGGGACCCATGACGATTTGGAAGAGAATGAAGGAGGAGCCATATTATTGTAAAGAGCAAGGAAGGCCAAAAGCCTGCTAGGGGGGACATAAAAGAAAACAAGAATTGGACTAAGCTGGAAGTTAGAACATTTGGGACATTCAGACTTAAAAGGATTAAGAAACAGAAGTTGAGTTTTACTCTTAAATATAGAGGTCTGGATGGAAGAAAAATGGACTTTCTTGAGATAGAACTTTTTTAAGATTGGGTGTTTGAAGTTAAAGATTACCAAGAAAACCGGCAAAGTGGAGCTGAGAGAGATTCGGACATGGACGTGAGGCCTCCAGGCTGATAGCAGCTAGATTGATGGATATTGGGGATCGACACCGGGAAAGGGGGGAGGGAGATTTGGAATCCAAAGGGTGTAAAATTATATTACAAACTTTCTTTTCTATTTCTTTTAACTTTTGTGTGTATTAAAAAGGGGAATTCGTGGAAGGGAATTGGGGTCGTCCTTAGGGAGGAAAAAAAATTTAAATGTTGAAAGAAGGTATTTTTAAGGGAAAGGGATTATATAAGATGAATTAAATTGAATATCGGGCTAAATATAATAAGTTTTAAATTTGGGGGGAAAAACTTGTGGAATTAATTTAATGGAAATGGAATACAATAGGGGGAGGGGTGGGGAAGTCTTGGAAAGATGTTAATGAAAATAAGGTTTTAAATATTCTTCTTTTCTTTTTTATGTCTTTTTTCTTTTTATATTTTGGATTTTTTGGAAACTTGAATAAATATGATTAAAAAAAAATAAAAAATAAAGGTGCCCTTCTGAATGCAGAAGGCATTTTCTTGTGGAACTGCTGTTTCCATACCTCACACCAGAGCTCTGAAATGAGAAGCATTCCTTCAACTTTGTATTAACACCTGGCAGAGATAGGCAAGGTCCAATTCTTCAGAGGCTTTCTTTCTCCTTTTTGCACATCCAAGTCAAGGTAGAGGATGCCAGAGGGGGGACATATGACCCTACTGTATGCTATGACAAGTTTGGAGAACTGTCTTCTACTTGCCTTGGTTCTCTGGAGATGTTTGGTCTTTTTGCATGGAGGACACACACTCATTGAGGCAGAGGAAGGAAGCCACTTGGACAAAGGGCAGTCTGAGATCCTTGGATGGGAAGTGTGGATTTTCTTAAGTTTATGTCTTGGTCAGCAATTTTTGCTTTGTTCTCTTCTTCTTGTGTTTTTAAGGGGGTGAATGAGGCATGGAGCAGAGGAACTGGCTGCCTCTGATGGAAGGGCTCATGGAGCCATTAAGTCTTTGACTCATTGTATGAACTCTGGGAGGTCTCTCACCAGAGAAGTTCAAAGTGAGCTTGGGCTTGTGTTAAATTGAGTACTTATTCCCTGGCTTCCTCCGGCACCTGGCCTTGTTCCAGTTCACTGGACTTGCAATGCTCCAACTTCTGCTGGGCCTCTTCAGAAGGCTGGTCATGCTACTGTCCTCTACCTGCCCTATATGAAGGGGAGGGAGTTGGGAAGCTTCTGGGTGAGCTACAGATGGTGCCACTAATCCAGAACTGTCTATCATGGGTGCTTTCTGGGGTAGTTGTTGGTGCTGGGGAAGAGGATGCAGTGCCATTGCGCTACCTGGTAAAGGGCTCTTCTTGATGCAGGTGAAGTGAGGGAAGGTTCCTAAACCCATTTGCTGGTTTGTGGTCCCTTATTTCAAGTCTGTGCTCAATGTATTGGGAGATGGGTTGAGAATGGGAAGGAAGCGGAGGTGGGGGAAAATAGGCTGTAAGGCTGTAAGATTTTTTTAAAGTTTAGGCCTGAAGAAGGAAAACAGTATCTTGAAAGTTCCAGCAGGAAGCAAGCATTCTGCGTGCAAGGCAGGGTTGATCTGGAACAAAAGGCTAGCCCTACCTCTGGAGAGGCACCCTGAAGAACTGGATGCTGTCTACAGTGGTACCTTGGGTTAAGAACTTAATTTGTTCCAGAGGTCTGTTCTTAACCTGAAACGGTTCTTAACCTAAGGCGTGCTTTCACTAATGGGCATCCTGCTGCCACTGCACCACTGACGCGCAATTTCCCTTCTTAACCTGGGGCAAAGTTCTTAACCTGGAGCAACTACTTCCTGGTTAGCGAAGTTTGTAACCCGAAGCGTCTGTAACCCGAAGCATCTGTAACCTGAGGTGCCACTGTATATGTATCAGAGGGGACATATTATCCTCAGTTGAAGGAATGCCCTCCAATGCCCTCTTCTCATAGAAAAGAATGAAACTAAAACAAAAGATGTGCTTAAACTCTTGTGCCAGCAAATAGGCTTGCATTTCCCCCTATGGCTATAATAGAAGGCTTCTTTCAAGTCCAATTGCAGTGGGGCTGGTAGTGGAGGATTTCAATGTACAGGAGTGTGTATCTCTGCTGGAGAGATAAGGCTAATCTCCCCCCCCCCCCACCAGCTGCAACTGGCCTGAAATTGCCCCTCTGTTGAAACTAGGTTTGAACAAAGCCTCCTTTTCTAACCAAGGCAAGGCATCTTTCAAGCCTAATTGTGACACTGAAGCATTGGGGGGGGGGGGGCGTGGTCAAGAACAGGGAAGGGAAACTCTGCTGAAAGCAAATAGTGGAAGTAGATAATCTTGGAATACCTATGTGTGGAATTGAATCTAAGCACTCTAGGGTCCTTTTTTCCTTCAAATTTTGGATAGTTTTCTTGCTTTGATTCTGGAGCTCCTGAATCTTCTGGAGCTTCTGCAGCTCCTGAATCTTCTAGAGCTTCTGCAGCTCCTGAATCTTCTAGAGCTTCTGCAGCTCCTGAATCTTCTGCAGCTCCTGAATCTTCTAGAGCTTCTGCAGCTCCTGAATCTTCTGCAGCTCCTAAATCTTCTGCAGCTTCTGGGACTGTTTCTTCTTTTATCAAATACAGCTCTTTAGTTATAATCTCCTGTACTGGCTCCACAATGGGTAATTCACCCTCTGCTGAAGCAACCTTAACAAGCAATAAAGTAGCATTAGTTTTCAGGAAGAAGAAGAAGAAGAAGAAGAAGAAGAAGAAGAAGAAGATGATTCAGTTCCAACACCCTTAAAAACACACACAATTTCTGAGATCTCCAAAGGTCTAGCAACATAAAATCTGGAAATCCTATAACTGTAATGTAGACCCCAGCTAAATGGAAAATTGTGGAAATGTCCCGTGTTTTATAAGTCCAGACAGCTAAGAAGGAAAGGGTGAGAGAGCAAAAGGAGATGTTTTCCTCTCAATAATATTAGCTTGCAAGTGAAGCAGAATAGCTAATTGCTGAATCTGGACTTATGGGACCTGGTGAAGTTGATCACTTTGCAGTCAAAGTCATAGGAAGCTGCCATTTAATAGACATGTGCCAAAGAAGGCAATCCTTAAGCCCCTCTTGTGAGCATAGTGTGCTCTGCAAGAGTGTTCTTGGCTATCTGGCCTTATAAATAATTTTCCCTGTGGCTTTTTGCCCTTGATGGGAAAAGCTTGTCCACATATGGTATAAAGAAGTCGTAACATCTCTGTTTTGGCCATCTGTCTACAAATTCAGGGAATCAATACATACGAGGTCACCGCTATTAAAATTAAGTGGCAGAGCAAATGTTCTGAAGTGTTGTTTATTTATTTACTTACTTAGAATTCTTCTAGCCTGCTTTATAGCCCAAACTAGGTTGCCATAGCAGCTTACAAAAGACTCCCAAAATAAAGCCACGCTCAAAATCTAGCACAGGATCATAAATTACATGGTGCGCATATGGAATCGGGATTATTAAGGCAGAAATTTCTTGCCCTTGATCTTCCCTGGTGTCACGCCAGACAGAAGTTCCCACTGAGGTCCTCTGAGCCAAGGAAGTCGGGCTGTAAACTCAGCCCATAATGAAAGCAGTCTTCTGATGTTTCGAAGAGACATCTGCTCTTTTAGCAACTCTAGGAGTACTGGGGAATAGTGCTCTCTTAGCCACAGATGAGAGGTTGTGGTGTCCCTTGACCCTGTGTCTCTTAAAGGGGTCTTAGTCTATCTGAGTCATGTATCACATGAGATATGGAGTATTGCTGTACGCTTCAGTTCAAAATTGTATAGTAAGCCAATGATATAATAAACTTGGCTCCAATGAAAATTTTAAAAGGGGCTGCATGCCCAGGATATTAGGACAAAGAAACCTATAGCTTCTGTTTTTCTACTCTCCGAATGAAGCCTGCTACTCTAGCAGTATAGTTAAGTTAGCCACAAAGGAGGTAATACAAACCTGCTCCTTAGGTTGTGTTTCTGTCTTGGGCTCTTCACAGATTACAGATGAACATGGAGAAACTCCAAAGAAAGGTATTTCTAAATGAGTTTGTGCTGGAAATTTTGGCCCAGGCACATACTTCTTATCATCTGTCACAACCATTCTTTCGGACACTGAGGAAAGAAAACAGTGAGAACTTCAATCAGATCCTTTGCTTCTGCTCCTTGTAATCTTACACGAAGAGTCAATGAAACTTTTGACTAGGGAGATAGACTTTACTAGACCAAAGTGAGATAGCACGCTCCTTAAGCAAAGTAAATATTCAGCCAACAGTTTTACATTCATTTGGTCCTTCTTTCATACTCCCCACTTCTGGTTTGACCTATCTTTAATTACTAGCCCATTTCTTAGCCAATACTCATTCTTGGAGATGCAGTGTGCAGCCCAGAACATTTCTCTCACATTTACAGGGGAAATCTATGTCATTAAAACACTGAAAATAGAATTGAGTGATGTGTGACTATATACTTTTAACTTCACTTTATTGCAAGCACTCTGTTCCTAAATGCAATTACCTGAAAATTTATTACAATGAGAGTAACCTCCAAGTATGCTGGTCTGGTGGAGATGTGCTTTTACCTTTTGTGCTTGACTTAGGCCCCAAATATCTGAAAGACTATCTCCATCCCTACCAACCTTCTCTAGAGTTATGATATGCTTTGAAGTCTTGCTCAGTAATTCTGCCTCCCTCAGAAATGTGGGGAATTATAGCTGGGAGTGGGCTTTCTTTGTGGCAGCCCTTAAGCTGCGGACTCCCTCCCCATAGAATTGCACCAACCACCTTCATTATATAATTTTCACTACATGCTGAAGTCACACCTCTTTACCTTGACCTTTGACAGTTCAGGGATTTTGTTTTCTGTGACTCACCTCCCTTTGCTGAATTTTTATTTCTCTGTTCCATTTTGGAATGGTCTTGTGCGTTTTAAAACTGTAGCGATTTTTATCTGTTTTAAAATGGTACTTGCTGTTTGTTGTAGCCTGCCCTGCTGTGGACTTGCAATGAAGCATAATGAGACTGTGACATGCTGTACAGGGGCTCCCTCCTCTTGGGTATCTAACTTTGAAAGATTTATTTCTGCAAAACGTCAGCGTTGCCCCCAACTTGCAGATGCCTCTTTTGTATTTGTGGGTGGCCCTGCTTTGCTTCCAAGTCAAACAACAGGGGAGCCCCCCACCTTGCTATTAAAAGGAGTAATTTGCTAGATATTGCATAGCAGTTTTTCACTGTTCAGAACCAAAAGAAATGTGATAGAGTAGGTATTTTCAACCTTTCCAGATCCAGGACCCTTTTAAAATCCAAACATGCATGTGGGGACCCATTTCTTAATCTTATACCACATATTTGCATGGTAGCAGTGCTCCTGCTATGATCCACCTCAAATCAGGCTGTGACCCACTTTGGGTCCTGACCTACCAGTCGAAGACCAGTGTGATAGAGCCCATGCTTCGCTCAGCTGTGCTTTTGACTGTGAACAGAATAACATGCCCTAACAGGATGGCGCTGTGGTCTAAACCACAGAGCCTACGGCTTGCCGATTGGAAGGTCGGCAGCTCAAATCCCAGCAACAGGGCGAGCTCCCGTTGCTCGGTCCCAGCTCCTGCCAACCTAGCAGTTCAAAAGCACGCCAAAAAGTGCAAGTAGATAAATAGGTACTGCTCTGGCAGGAAGGTAAACAGCATTTCCGTGCGCTGCTCTGGTTTCAGTGTTCTGTTGCAGCAGAAGCAGCTTAGTCATGCTGGTCACATGACCTGGAAAAACTGTCTGCGGACAAATGCCGGCTCCCTCGGCCTGTAAAGCGAGATGAGCACCGCAACCCCAGAGTCGTCTGTGACTGGACTTAACTGTCAGGGGTCCTTTACCTTTTTTAAAAAGCAGACAGCTTATCAATTCATCAGTTCACACCATTCCTCAGCTACGGTTAGAAGCACTGCAGATGCAACCGAGGGAACAAAAGGAGAATGGAAGCCAAATGGAAATGGGGCTACAAAATAGATGGGAGCAATCAAGATGCAAGGCAGAAAAGGGCAAAACCAGCTCCCAGCTTCTCTCAGTCACAAAGGACTTCTAGTGTTATGTGCTGAAGCAAGCTGATAAGGAACAGGCTCTGCCATGCCAGGGGAAAACACTGTTGAACTGCTTTGGGATAGGTCTCTAGGATGGAGGGGAGAGCAAACCCAAAGATCATTAAAAGAACGCCCCCCCCAATTATATTTATATTTAAACCATTACTTTCAGCTTTATCACGTTCTTCTAAGTCGGGAGTTCCAGGTTGGAGCAGGAAATCAAATATATTCAGAGAAACATCTGAGGAACAGGGAGAGCAGTAGATTGCTGAGGGAGCCACTGGTAATCTCCAGACTGGCTAATAGGGAAGAAAAAAGTACAAATGCATGTAATCTGCTTACTATTTTTTTTAAAATAAAATTGTTTATAATTCAACATCAAAAATTACTTCACCTGTTTACACCTAATTATATGCCTTTTAATGGATTAATTCATTATTTGCCAATTAAATTTAAGTAGCTGCTGATATAACTTAAAACTTGATATAGGTGCCTTTTGGGATACTGAAGGATCTGTGTCATAACTGTGCAAAATATGCTTCATTACACTATAACCCAACCTTTCCTTTCTTCTTTGGTAAAACCAACAAGTCTGATGTGAAGTCTTCAGTGAAGGTATATCCCTTGTAAGGTACCTAGAGAAATAGTAAAGATATTCATGGTATGATAAAAGTCTATTTTTTATAATATTGCTATTAGTCAACAGGAATATGTGTTACATATGTTCAGTGTGTTCAAGTCATAGTTCAATCCTATATATATATATATATATATATACACACACATTCAGAAGTAAGTCCCATTGAGTTAATTTATGGACTCAGCTACACAGCTGCAAATAAAATGTTTTAAATGTGTTGTAAAGTGCAATATACAAATGTGACACTAGATGGAAACAGTGAGCTATGCAAAATTCAATGTATTTTTCAAAACATTTTTAAAAAGCATTTTCACAGTGGTTTTTATATGTGTGTAGATTCCACCTAGGTTTACTACCAAGTATGTCGGTATCATATTTTAGCCTTAAAGACTTAAGAGGGTGATACTATGAAAAGTATTTATTGTAAGTTTGTGAAATCTGATCCAATACAGAAATAGATCTGCCCCAAAGTAAAGCAGCTCCTAAAAAAAATCTACTATAAATTAAATCTAGAAACATTACATAATGTTGAATTTATTTAAATAAGCTGTGGCAATCTAGTCTTCAGCATAACATACAGGGGGGAAAATATTATTTTGTTAATGACAGATTCCAAATCTAAGTTTTAAAACAGATATTATTTTTGCAGTTATTGCAATGCACTGCATCTAACAGCGGGTGGCAGACTTTGCACCTGATTTTAGATGCAATTCAGTTTAGTGAATCATGTCTCCAAGAGCCCAGTATTTAGGCAACCTCTGTTTCTTCATGCTGCTAAAAATGCTGTGTCAGTTACAACATACCAGATATGATGCCATCTCAACGGGCTTCGAGACGTAAGTTTTCCCTCTTTCTAGCTCTTCTGGAGGTTGACTTTCAAAAATATAGGATTCTGGAGAAGAGATCATGATAGCAGCATTTATATTGCAGCATTCACATTGTAACATGAAACCGTAATGATAAACCACTCTTATTTTATTTACAATTTTTACTTAGAATTATACCCCTGAAAACAATAAAAAGAAATATGAGTTGTTTTTTACATGTATATTGGTTATCAATAACTAATTTTCTGTTCTTCACTCAAATGAACAGGAAAACACTGCCAAATAAGATACCACAATGAGCCATGGTAGGCATAACACAATTTCCCTGCAAACCATGGTTTCCTGAGTCTGGTTCCCAATTTGCAAAGTACACTTCCTCTTCTAGAAGGGATCCCTTTTCTCTTTTACAATAGGTTCAAACCCAAAACTGTTGAGCAAACCCCCATGTTACAAAACACGATTTCTCGATTGACTTGCCCAAGACAATTCAGGACAAAGTGCCGCCTTTCAGAAATTCCATGACATATGTCAGCCCTAGGTTACTGTTACATCCGTACTTACCATGACTGACACAGACCAAGAGTTCAAACCCCATTTCAAAACATGGTTATGACAGAAACCTTGGCTTCTGTTGATACCGGTTAGTGTTGGTGTACATATGAATACTAAATGCTGGTTAGCGGTAAGTTTGCTAATTGCATCATGCCAAATTATTTAGCAGAAAAGCCTGCAATCCTATACACACTTACACAGGAATAGGCCACAGTGAATATAGTAGGACTTGTTTCTGAGTTAAAGTGGATGGGATCGGACTGCCTGAGTACGAAATATTATTTAAAAATGAAGAAATTCTGTTAATATACTTATAGAGGTTACCTGTTGCTGAGATGCTAGAGGCATCAATATTTGCATTCAATAAGCCCAGTGTCTTACTGTGAGACAAGATGTAAATATCATTTTTGAAAGCCAGTAAAATATCACCCGAACTATTCAGGAAACAGGCTGTGCTTAAAGTGTTATCAAGAGTGATATCTGCCACCAGATTCTTCTGTGTATCCCATAGCTTTATCGTGGAATCTGAACTAGAAAATAAAGGGAACATCATGGGAAATAGTCTTAAGACAGAATATAAATCACTCTTATGCAAAAGCTTACTTTCAAGACCCACTCAGTACTAAAGCAAACTGGAATTAAATCATACATATTTCATGCGAACTTCAGTTTAGGACTGAGTATACCAGGTTCCTGATTACAGGATGAAGGTTTCCCTATAATCATGTGTTTTTATTGTTTGTATTAAATGAATGAAATCCTACATTTCTACATTTGAGAAACAAAATTATAAAAGAAGAGCTTGAATTTGATATCCCGCTTTATCACTATCCGAAGGAGTCTCAAAGCGGCTAACATTCTCCTTTCCCTTCCTCCCCCACAACAAACACTCTGTGAGGTGAGTGGGGCTGAGAGACTTCAAAGAAGTGTGACTAGCCCAAGGTCACCCAGCAGCTGCATGTGGAGGAGCGGAGACGCGAACCCGGTTCCCCAGATTACGAGCATAGGCGCCGACTCCATGGGGCCTGAGGGGGCCCGAGCCCCCTCAAAAATTTTATTGAGGGGGCTCTGCCCCCCAATAATTTAAGAAAATTATTGGGTGCGCGCAGCGGAAACGTCCTCCGCCGGTGACGTCACCCGGGCCTTGCGGAAAAGGCGCTGAGGGAGTCGCCGCCGCTGCAGCGGGGCCGCTGCAGAAGGGTGAGTGGCGAGGGCGGGACGGGGCTGCGCGCTCCTTTCCTCAGCTGCCCTCGTCGCGCACCTTGGCTCCCGCGGCCGGCGAGGGGAGCCCGGGCCGCGCGCGGCTGCTGCTGCCGCCGCCGCCTCTCCTGGGGGCGCCGCCTCCCCGGGCGGGAACGCTGCGGGAGCGCGAGGGAGGAGGGCGGCCCCCGGGGGCTGGGAGAGCTGGGCTGCCGTGGCCGAGAGGGCTGCTCTGCCGGGCACTGCTGACATTGGAACTTAGAAAACTTCCCGGGGCAGGACCCCGGTATGGGCCCCCCCAATATTTTTTATAAGTCGGCGCCCCTGATTACGAGTCCACCGCTCTTAACCACTACACCACACTCACACAACAGCTTGTATCCAACAGTGTTGCTCAGCTGATGGTAAGACTTCCATGAGCAGAATGGGGAGGGAAGTAATTTTAAGTCATCCCCACTCTGCCCTGCAGCCCCCCATGTCTCCTTAAATCTTCTCCAGAGGGGGTAAGAGACTCTGGAGAACAGATTTAGAAGGGACACGGGAGGCTGAAGGGAAATTGTTGTCCTCCCCATGTTATTCATTTCCTGCTTAAATTCCTATTAAAAAAATGTTTTCTTTGATTTCAGTGGGCTAAAAGCACCCCCCCACACACACACCTAATTCTACCTGTTAGCACCATATCCTCTCTATTTCTAGATATAATATCCTCCATCTTAGCTTGTTGCCGAAGAGGCACTTTGAAGCTCCTACGATCAGCTAGACATCAGCTAATTCTAGGTGCTTCAAAAGAGCCTTCCACAGGTGTCAATCAGCTGATTGCCAGTGCTTCAAAACGCAGTCCCCAAAATTAACTGGTATTGGGAACTCCCTAGTATAGCCAAGGGGTCAGGTAGAAGTGGTTTAGGTTCAAAGATCTTCCGCCAGTGCTTTGAATCCATTCCATTCCCCCTGGAGAGAGAAAATGCTCCATTTTCTTTTTTCTTAGAGGTTGCAATTTGAATTGCTGAAGGAGGTGCTTTGAATCCAAATATCTTTCTCTGCAGAGGCAGGGCGGGGGAGGAAATGACCTGCTCTTGTTATGGCAGCAGGTGATTGACTGGTGAACGTTATCAACCACCTGAAAAAGTTGACCCACAGGAGCTGGGGTAAATGAAGATCTGGTTACCAGATTTTTTTCAATGAATTTTCAACTTCAACAGATTTTGTATGGGAACTGATTTGTAAATCTGGGGACTGTCCCCGGGAAACGGGGACGTCTGGTAACCTTAAGCTAAATCTAATTCCCCATGCCTCTAGTATGAGAAGCTTCAAGAAGCACAAGCAGGTCATTCAGATTTGGTTTTCTGCACGGGAGATTGGATTCTACACACTCAGTTTAAAACCCAAATAGATATTGACTGTACTGCTGTTCTGCAGCTACTGCCCACACCAGTGGGTGGGGCTTAATGGAATGTGTCTGGGCTGTATTATTTTGTCGCTCCCCTAAATCACTCCACCCACCCACCCTCTGCAACCTTCTTCCATGCACACAGGCATTTCTCTATCTCCAGGTGCACACTTAATAAATAAATAAAAATTCACTGGATGTCTGCAAGTTATCATATTTCACAATGGGCAAAATGGAGACTTGTACTCTTTTTGAGGCCAGGGGATAATATTTATTTCCACTTAGTTCCCCCCCCCCAAAAAATACTAAGGTCTTTAACAAGAGTGATACCCCACCTGAAAAACAACAACAACAACAAAGCAACAACAACAAACCACAGCAGCAACAAAATACTGAAATTATGATAAAGCATGCCAGCTTTGCCTGAAGCCATCTCCCTCCTACCTAGTACTTCTCTTCTTAGTGTGGAGATTTAATTTTAAAAATATATATATTAAAAAGAAAAGGTTAAAATAATGCTGGTGTCAGCAGTGGAGGGTGCTGGCATCTGCCCCACTATGCTGGGTGCTCGTATGGGGCATGCAGCCATAATAGAGATTTATGGATTTTATAGCACATGTACCATCCTGTCTTCCTTTTCCCATGTTACAAAAGGTAACATAAAACTATTCACCTACCCGCAACTTAAAAAGAGAGAATAATTCTTGCAGGAATCCACTGCCAGTACAGGGCCATTGTGGTACTTGTCCGAAAAAGCATCTTCTTCTTCTTCTTCTTCATTCTTCCCTTAAAGAAAATGAATACTCTGATATAATTTGTGAATTTGAGGATCTGATTTCAGATTCTGAATGCACCCTTGTCAGGAAATGATAATATCATGTGCCAGAACGGTGGTAGGTCTGCAGGACTCTGTGAGCAGCCTTGGCGGGGGGTTATTCATTCACCTTATCCTCTCCCAAACAATGTGGGCACCGTCAGGAAAAGGTTATAATGGCGATGTGTCTGCCCTGGGTCCCCCCCTCCTCCCTTGGTATTCCCTTTACCCCACTTCTCTCTCCAGTGGGTAAAGTAACACTGGAGGATAAGCTGCTCGGGTGGGAATTCTGCACTCCTCATTTGGTGCTTCTTTTACTCTTAAAATTGGAACTGAGGCAGAGTTAGGTTTGTCTCTATCATATACAGATTGGCCCTAAACGGGCACTTATCAGTTGATCAAGTGATCAAGTGATTTGACACTTGACCCTGTTTTCAAAATGTGTGTGTACACACACACACACACACAATTGATTTGATCCTATCTAAACTATAAAATAGGCCCATGTTTAGCCAAAGGAAAAGAATTGTGTTCTAACCAGATACCCCCAGGCCATTGAAACCGAAATACAGAATGTTCCAACCTTCATTTATCTCAAAAAAACCAGAAGCTTACGGATAAGATATATTACTTCTTTGTAACTTTCTGAACTCTTCATTGTTTTTATAAGTTCTATCAATATAAAAGAGTGCAAAAAACAAAAACCACACAGGTGAAATGAATTGAGAGAAGCCATTACTAGTAACAACTAGTCAAAAATAGGTTACTAGCAAGTCAGCCTCTACAGAATGAAAGTGTGAATCATTTTTGAAACGTATTACAAAACTTCAGTAGAACTCGAAAGATCTACTACGGACTAAAATATGTGGGTGGAATTAAATGGCAAGCTACTTCTGTACACAAGGTTAGGCATGGGAAAAGTCAGTGCTACTGTTGGTCATGAAATAGCTGCTCAGGTCATCCATTCATGGCTAGAAGGCTGTATCAACAGCTGAATGTGAAACTGCATTAATAATTTTCTGAAATAATCAATATTCTCATTGGATATTATGCATATCCAAATATAGAATGAGGATGATCATGCAATCTTGTGCATGTTTATTCAGGTATTTAGAGTGGCTGACTCTCAGGTAAGGATTGCAGGCTTGTTCCCAGGGACGCTCAATAGAAGCTGTGCCTTTGAAGACACAATTATGTCATGAAAATACCTATTGAGATAACTTAATGGATTAGAACTACACACATTCATTTACTTAGAGCGTTCTCACAGAATGATGCCCACTCAATTATGTTAGCACAACACCAACACCTGAGCAGGATATATTGTGCTAGAGGACCAAGAAAGCTTTATTCTGTTTCCATTTCTTTCTGTAACCTAACAACAACTTTATTACTAAAATATTCTGGCTTCGCTTTGTTTATTTCCAAATGTCATGCCCACTCCCTGTTCTCTCATCTGCTCCACTGGCCCACTATGCCTCCTGCTGCATGTGAGAGGACAGGCTGGAGGATGCTAAAACTCAACCATCTGCTGAGAGGAGCACATTGCCCAATGACCATGCCTAGTGTGATGTGAAGTGATATGGTTGGGCAGCGGGCCTTTTCTTAGCGCAAAGAGGTGAAATGCAAGTGAAGCGGGGTGAGTGAGCGAGCAAAAGAAAGCAGACAGAATGACAGGTGTTTGGAATGATAATTCGGTGCCCGTGTGAGAATGATGCGTGTTTTGGCCCCACTCTGGTCATGTTGGCCCTAGGAAACTTGACCTGACAGAGGAAGCTTCCCCACACCTTATGCAGATATTCAGCCACTGTGTCCAGTTTGTGCAACTTCAAGATGTTTATTTAAGATACTTGGGGCAGTGAGGATTGCCGCCACTATTGCTGCATTCATGTCCATCACGACTGCTTAGATCTACTGGACCAGGACAAAGGATCTGGATCATTGTGATTTAAAATGCCATGAGAAAAGATGATGCCCTGACTCCTTTTAAGGAAGCAATTGGAAACTCCTTATCAAGGAGCCATTGCTTGTCCCATTGGATCTAAATAACTATCATGTGGTGTCAGGCAAAAAGGTCCTTGAATGTGTAGTGGTTGGCCAACTCCACATTTTCTTGGATGAAAGTGATTATTTGCAACTATTCCAATCTGATTTCCAGCTTGGATGTGAGACTGAAATTCCGTTGCTCACACTGGTGGATAACTGGCACTAGAAGAGTGTGACCCTATTTATTCTCTTGGACTTGTCAGAGACTTTTCATACAACTATGTTTTTTTGTTGTTTCTGGCTTGATGCTCATTGTTTGCTTAGAGAGAAACAAACCATGGGCACTGGTTCCCATGTAATATGAAGCCAACACTGTGATTTGTTTTGTTGCAGGAATGGGAAGAGCAAGGTGGGAATGGTTTGAGCATGCTGCTTATTTTCTGTAAGCCATAGCTTATTTCAGGGTATGGCTTACCAGGGTGTACAAACCAGGCCACCAAAACATTATGAGGCCAACACAGTTTAATTTAAGGATTTCTCCATCTGCCAAAAGAATTAGTTTGGAATCCTATGCACACAGGCTTTGCAAATCCCATGGAAATCAAAGAGACTTACTTCAAGCGAAAGTAGAAGCAGGCTGCACCATCTGAGGGTTTTTTTGGGGGGGCAAATGTCTGATTATTACTTTATTTATTTTGACCATTTATATACTGCTTAATTGCAACAGTCTCTAAGCCAGGCATCCCCAACCTTCAGCCCTCCAGATGTTTTGGAATACAATTCCCATCATCCCCGACCACTGGTCCTGTTAGCTAGGGATCATGGGCATTGTAGGCCAAAACATCTGGAGGACTGCAGATTGGGGATGCCTGCTCTAAGCAGTATACAATTTCCTTAGGACAAAAAGATCAGTTAAAATGATAAGATTAGAATTCAGTTAAAATGCCTGCCGGACATTCAACAAGGGCAGGGCCTGCCTGACCTGAAATAATGTCACCAGCATTTAGCTACCGTATTTTTCACCCTATAGGACGCACTTTTCCCCTCCAAAAATGAAGGGGAAATCTGGGTGCGTCCTATGGGGCGAATGCAGGCTTTCGCTGAAGCTTGGAGAGCTCTCCAGGCTTCAGGAACACATCCGCAGCCTGCTTCCCGGAGCACAGCGCCCAGCGCTTCGGGAACACATCCGCAGCCTAGGCAGCCCTGCGGGAGTTCCCGCAAGGCTGTCTAGGCTGCGGATAGCAGCCTGCTGCCCGGCGCAAGGGGCACCCTGAAGCAGAGCGCCCCTCGCACCGGGCAGACATCCGCAGCGTGTTGGAGCCCTGTGGGAGTTCCCCGCAGGGCTCCCCACGCTGCGGATAGCAGCCTGCCGCCCAGCGTGAGGGGCGCCCTGAAGCAGAGCGCCCCGCCCACCGGACAGACATCGGCCAGCCCCACAAGCTCGGGGACAGCAAGGAGGCGCAGCGCCGCCATCCCGCTGTTCCTCAACCTGGTTCGGTTTCCCCGACCTGGTTTTGGCGGGGAAATAAAGGGGGGGAAAATTTCCTTTATTTCCCCCCCAAAAAACTAGGTGCGTCCTATGGGACGGAGCGTCCTATGGGACGAAAAATACGGTACTTTGTCAAAACTAGCCTCTATGTAATCCCACTGTCTTCAGTGGGAAAGATTTAAATGTGTGTTGAACTCTTTCTTCACTTAAAAGTGCTTACTTTGGCTAAGTTATGCCCTTTATACCAGCATAATTTCCTGAGTAAAACTCAGGAACAATGTTTTAACTTTTATTTTTGATGCTGATTTACTATGCAATCCTATCATCACTTCTCAGACATATGTGTGGGATTGCAGCATCGATGTGTTCAAATCTCCATAAAGGACATTAACAATTTTACTGTAAAAAGGCTAAGGTTTCACTCTTCCTATTTGTATGTATACTAAATTATTTTAAAAGGATCTCACCATGATATTTCACATCTTTTCCATACAAAGTTGTTTTGTTGTCTTCTTTGATATTTAAAACATCCACGCTTCCAGATGTCAGACCAATGAAGAGTGAATTGCTCTGAAATAGGTATATAATTTCAGTTTGGTATATACAAACTCACTGTTCTCTCTGTCTATAGGTCTAGTAACTTATAGTCAAGAAAAGAATGGCCTCCAGATTGCCACCCCTTTGTGGAGAACATTCCTTCATGACTATCTTATAAAGCCATTCATCTTCCTTCAACCCAATTCTTCATTTTACACAGCTTCTGCAATGACTATAAGAAAAGGGTTTATTTGTTTTTATTTAGTTAAAATTTAAAAAAAAATTTTTTTTTTTGAGGAAGTTGCTCCACAAAGCAGAACCATAGCTATGGGTGTTGTGTGTGTGTGTGTGTGCGCGCGCGCGCGTGCAAATGTGCATAGGGGAGGGGGTGCCAAACTGGGTCTTTGAGCTGGGATAAAAAAGGCCTAATTTCACCCTTGCACAAAGCAGCTTACTATCTCCAATAAAAACCAACTCCACCTGATATTATGTAAAAATACAGAATATAGTATAGATAAGCAATAAGCCAGCATAAAAACTGACCAGAAGTAGAATAAAACAAAACCAGTCATAAAAACAGTATTAAAACATAAAATTCAAGAAGGATTAAAAACTGGAGAGATAAAATAGGCTACCTTGGGAAGGCAAGGGAGAATAGAAGTTTTCAACAGAAGTCAAAAATGCAACCAAGTTGGGGCTTGTTTCATTTCTAAGGGAAGAGGATGCTTAGCCACAATGCTTAAAGCAAGTGCTCAAGTTACAACAGTTCTTACCTTGTGTGTGGGGCACATCAGCAACAGATTTTCAACCACAGACCTAAGTGACTGGGGTGGGCTGTAGGAGGAGAGGTATGGGGCTATATACACTAGTAGTAAAACATTGAATCTAGGTTGATAGCAAATTGGCAGCTATTGCAATCCATTCAACAAAGGTTTCACATTTGTTGATAGGTTGCCCCAGAGAGCAACCATGCAGCAGTGTTTTTGCAGCAACTGCAGCTTGACACAGCACAATAACTCTAGCATTTCCATTAATGTGTCACACAGACATATTCTCACACCAGCACTCAATTGTTCTCGTTACTCACAAGCCTTGTAAAAACAATGGTATCGTTTGCTGTGTTCACTTGCGACATGAGCTCCAGACCAGGTAAGCTTCTGAAGTGTATCAGTTTGCATCTTGGGCTCTGGCACATAATTATTAGCTGCTGATGGGCCACATCGTGTCTTAAATGGACCACCTAAACCAATTGATGTTTATATTTTAAAATAGCAGTTCCTGAATGGATAAAATTAAAAATTAAAAAAAACCAAATCAGCGGGCCACTTAGAGCACATTTTCATATACTCTTTGGAAAGGTGCTGGTATGTTTAGGTTTCACAATAATGTTTCATATTAATCTTTAACATTTTAATGAGATATGTTGCTCTGGATGATCTCTCAAGAACCCTGCTTCCTAAGACTGTGGTTCTATAATGATTCAAACTGGTTGGACAAGGTGAGCCTGCCAGAATTCCCTTTTGCTGAGAGGGTTAGTACTGATGGGCCTCAGTGGATAGTCTTTGCATAACTAAGGAATTAGTTGGATAATTTGTGTGGAAAGGGGCATGCCTTTCTGCTCCCAGCTTTGCCCTGCCTAGAGGAAATTTTGTGCAAACACGGAACAACTAGATTATGGTAATTAAGTGCACGTGGTGTGCCTCACCCTTTAAAATATATGCTATGCGGAGGACAATTAGCAGTTCAAGATAATACATGTAGGACACTTCTTGTAGCAGCCTTTTTGGTCCAATTAATGTAACGTGATGATCTTATCACAATCCCGTCAGTTCTCAAAAATATGAAGTATATAAAAAAGGGTTATATTTAAACTAAAAAAAAACCATTTTTACATATTGTTGAGAAAAGTAAGATTAGAAAAAAGCATACTTACTGGATCTGTATAAGCAGTCATTTCATAATAAACCAAATTCTGTACTGATGTGTGAAGAAATAGAATTCGACCATCCTTTAATAATAATAGTAATTTATTATTTGTACGCTGCCCATCTGACTGGGTTGCCCTAACCACTCTGGGCAGCTTCTAACATATATATAAAACGTAACAAAACATTAAACCTTATACAGGGTTTCCCTATACAGGGCTGCCTTCAGATGTCTTCTAAACATAGCTGTCAACTTTTCCCTTTTCTTGCAAGGAATCCTATTCGGAAAAAGGGAATTTCCTTTTAAAAAAGGAAAACGTTGACAGCTATGCTTCAAAAGGTTATATAGTTACTCATCTCCTTGACATCTTATGGGAAGGTCTTACACAAGATGGGCACCAGTACCAAGAAGGCCCTGTGCCTGGTTCCCTGTAGCTTCACTTCTCGCAGTGAGGGAACCACCAGAAGACCCTCAGTGCTGGATCTCGGTGTCCAGGCTGAACGATGGCTCATTATGTTCAATGAGATGAAAAATCTGACACACACACATACACTATCCATCAACACCCACACCTACAAACACCCACAGCTTTCCCCCAGAATGCCATAATATTAGAGTGCGCCTATAAAGTCAAAGACATGGAGATCCCAGGATATTACTTATTGCTCTGTTCTAATAAATAAAGACTAGACAGCTTCCATGAGACTTGAATACAGTGGTACCTCGGGTTACATACGCTTCAGGTTACAGACTCTGCTAACCCAGAAATAGTACCTCGGGTTAAGAACTTTGCTACAGGATGAGAACAGAAATTGTGCTCGGGCGGCGTGGCAGCAGCAGCAGGCCCCATTAGCCAAAGTGGTGCTTCAGGTTAAGAACAGTTTCAGGTTAAGAACGGACCTCTGGAACAAATTAAGTACTTAACCCGAGGTACCACTGCATTTTGTAGGGTGGTGTAATGGGAAGGAGGAGGATGGGTGAATTACTGGCCTCCTATTCTCACTGATGACCGAGGTATGGAAATCTATGTACACTTAAGCTTGTAAAGTAAAAGAGAGATGGAAAATAATCCCATTGATACCTATGCTGATCTCCTCCCCCAGGTGCAGCTTCACATGCAGGGGGTGGGGAGGGCACTGTGTGAATTATGCTCTAAGATGTTTTCCCCCCATAATCTGTCCACTATCAAATTTCTAAATTTCTTAACTATCAGGCAGATTTTTAAAGCACAGTGACAGGTTGCCAGTAAAATAATTGCAATTACTGTACTTTCTGTACTCAACCTGTTTCGTTTTAACTATTAGATCTACAAACTAACAAAGTTTCAGATGCTAAATCACTCCATAATGAAACAAGTTATACAAGGTTTTTTAATGCTTTGTTGCAAACTGCTGTAGCATTCATGTTTCAGATTTCAGGGTCAGCAATCTGTGAAATTGTTCTTGAACATAACGTGCTATGCAGCCAAACAGCTAGATATGCATTTTGTGTGGAAGTCTGGTTTTCATGTGAGAGTACAGTGGTACCTCGGCTTAAGTACTTAATTCGTTCCGGAGGTCTGTTTTTAACCTGAAACTGTTCTTAACCTGAAGCACCACTTTAGCTAATGGGGCCTCCCGCTGCTGCCGCGCCACCGAAGCACGATTTCTGTTCTTATCCTGAAGCAAAGTTCTTAACCTGAAGCACTATTTCTGGGTTATTGGAGTCTGTAACCTGAAGCGTATGTAACCCAAGGTACCACAGTATAACAGAAGCATACAAGTAATCTTTTCAAAATGCTGACTATAACTGACTGTTCCTTACTGGGTTTTACACAACATCTCTTGACTGTTTTCTGTGGTCGTGTTTTTTTTAAATGTTTTCATAATTTACCATGACAAATTATTGTTATTATTGCTGATAAAAGAATACCAAAACCACAAATATCATTATTAATGCTTATTTGGCTTGAAAGGATCAACCTACAAGCTGTGAAATACACCCTAATGAATATATATAAATAAAATGAATACAATCTAATTGCCATCCATTAGAAACACAGACTTGAGTAACTAAATGAAAAGCTTACCTTAGCTATATCCTAGCTATATCCTAGTGTCAGAACCAGCAGTGAAGGGTGGACTTCTTAAAAGCTAACCTGGAATCCTGTTCCAGGAATTGTTGCTCCTCTGCTGAGTTTAGTGAATGTCCAGGGCCCAGATAACTTTATTGGCTGCTTTTCTCTCTTCATTTCCCCTCACCCCCTTGCCACTACATCCACTTCCCATTCAAAGCACACCAAGTCATGTACGGGAATGCAGTTTACAGACTTTTGCTCATCCTTCATGCTCATTCCTCTTCTTGACCCTGCAAACTTCTGCTGAGGTTCCCTAATCCCCTAATCTCCCTTCCTATCCTGCTGGATCAGACCAAAGGACTATGTAGCCCAATATCCTGTTCCTCGCAGGGGCCAATCACATTAAATTCTGGCCTTGTTCAGCTTCCTGGTGTCCTTGTTTTGTCTTCTTGACTTAGAAACCTAACCCACCTCCTTACACTAGAAAGGGCTATTTCAGTACACTGATTCCCACTAAACATGTGGGAAAAACTTTCTGAGAGTAGGAGCTGTTCAACAGTGCAACAGTCTCCCTTGGGAGGTTATGAACTCTACTTCCTTAGAGGTTTTCAAGCAGAAGTTGGATGGCCATCTGTCATGGATCCTTTGCTGAGATTCCTGCATTACAGGGGGTTGGACTAGATGACCCTTGGGTCCCTTACAACTCTAAGATTATATGATTGTGTCAAACCATTGATCAGCTAACCCAATACAGTGGTACATTGGTTCCCGAACGCAATCCATTCTGGAAGTCCGTTCGACTTCCAAAACGTTTGCAAACCATGGCACGGCTTCTGACTGGCTTATTGGCCCCGGAAACAATGCCGACAGCCAAAATGGATGTTCGGCTTCCAAAAAAACATTTGCAAACTGGAGCACTTGCTTCCAGGTTTGTGGTGTTCAGGAGCCGATTTGTTCGGGAGGCAAGCCGTTCGGGAACCAAGGTACCACTGTATTATCTATTCTAATTGGCAGCAGTTAGCTAAGTCTCAAGCAGACATCTTTGCCGATCTATTATGAAGGGAGCACAACACACACCTCAGACCCTAGCATCTAAAATGTAAGGGATCCTGAAAAGGACCTCTGCAGACCGATCAGGAAACGATCTCTGGCTCTGACACTGGAAAGACACTGCCTGCCAGAGTAGGAAAAAGTGGGATGAATGACCAACAATAATGTAAGGATGCTTTGTATCAAATGCATAATCTGTTAATTTGAGGGTTTTAAGTTTCCTATGACTACATTTGGATGTTATCTTAATAGGCTTTTCTGGGTGTCTTTGTAACCACTTTGCATTTCTAAAAGCCTGCCCTATTTCCCCTGCCCACGCACACCTCTGTCCTCAGGCAGTTCCGCAAGGAAGAAGATGGAAAATCCCCCATAGCAGAACACTGAATAAAGCGGATTAAAATAGTTAACATATTCTGGAGGGGGCTAGTTCCTTTAACACTAGTCCATAAGAAGCTGACTTAGCCTATGGACATACCTTAAGCACCAAATTTGTAAATATTTCTCAATTCAGCATTTGCCTTTCCAACCCCTGTGAAGCATGCAAATGTATACATACTAACCTTTACTGGCAAGTACAAATCTAGTTCATTAAATTAATTTTATGCATATATCATCTGGCTTTTTACCTGCATGCCGAGAACCAGAAATTCCTGGTTATCTGCGAACACCACTCCTTCATCTATCAAGTAACACAATGGTGAAGACAAGCTGCACAGGCATTCGCATTTCACTGAAGTCCTGAAATTTCTTTTTCGAGTATGTTGAAAATGTTCATTCTTCTGAATACAGCTAGGAAGACATATTGAAGCAACTTCAAAGGTAGGAGCACATACTGGATGCAATACGAGCGACATGGGAACAAGAGACCAGTATTACATGAATTTTGGCCAGTAAAGTTGCTGCACCAAACATAATACCGGTGGGTGCAGAGTACCCAAGGGTACAATGCTACCTGTGAAGCCCCTGCCCCCAGCATCCTAAAAGCCTCTGTATTCCTTCCTGCCTCTCATTTTGCCAGTTGCAGGAGGGGGCAGGTGGAAATAATCAGTATTTGTTTTTCGTTCCACTCTGGGAATCTGCTGGAGGAAGTTGGTCCTCCTCCTCATCTCTGAGAGGTCTGTTGGCTTGTTTGCTGCCACCTCCTCTCTGGATGTCTGATAACACGCTTGCTTCCTCCCTCTCTGGGGTCTTTTTTAGGGGGGCAGCTCCCTTCTACATCTTCTTTGGGGGGATCTGTGTAGTTTCTTTCTTTCTTTCTTTCTTTCTTTCTTTCTTTCTTTCTTTCTTTCTTTCTTTCCCTCCCAGCCTGTCTGCATCCCTTCCAACACCCAAGAAGCACACAAAGTGTGAGCAAGCGGGGTTACTGCCAACACTTTGCTATTAGCAAAGCCTCCCGAAACAGCAATTTTGTGGTGTTGCCCACATCTCCCCCCCTCTCCTTTTAAAAATCCCATGTGTGCCCATGGGCCTCAAAAAGCTGGGGCCCCATGTTCAGTAAATGGAATGTCACAGAAAACTATATCTGCAGAAAGAACCCTTTTTCATATAATTTTTGCTTTTTAATAATTAAATATTTATTAATTAATTACATTTGCATCCCACCTGTCAGAGAACTGCCATCGGCTCAGGGGCAAGAGGGGAAAAGCCGGATGGATTACAGAGAGCCCCCAAAGATTGTGGGAAGCAGCACCTCCTCAGCGGAGGAGAGTAACCACGCCTCCAGTGGAGAGGAGCTTCAGGGCTCGGAGGAGGCAAGGCGGTGCCAGGACACCTTGCCTGAGCAAAGCGGCGAGGAGAGAGGTCCTCCGTTACCCACGCCCTCCCTGCGCAGTAGGCTTCCGCGCCGAGAGGGGAGGTGCAGACTGGGCATCAAGAAACTACTCTGCTGGGGAGGTTTAAGGACCGCCCACTCTCAGATTCTGCCAGTGAATGAGCGAGCCACGGAATAGTGGCGCTCTGCATGGTGAAGGATTTTTGGCACCAATAACGAGGCTTTACAGCTGACCAGGGAGGCATTTGCCTGATTGCTCTCGAGTAACCCCCTGGTATCCTTACACCACCCTTCCTCCCAAAGAAGCCCAGGACAGTAAACATCAACATGTTAAAACAATAATAATATTGTTATGTGTTTTTTCTTTCTCCTTTTGGGTGTGTGTGTGATACACACATTATAGCCTTATCAACACACCAATCTAAGATGGTGACTTGTTCAAAACAATTTTTGCCCCAGTTGCTCATCTGAAATTTCATCAAAATGCAAATGTCATTTCTTCCATAGGCAGAGTTTATGACTCAGTCATAGGTCTGCTTGAAGTCCATGCCCACTAATGTAGTGAATAATTCATTCTGACACCCCAGGCTGTCAGGACAGGGGGTTCTGTTGTCATATAAGAAATATTCAGCATGTAAAATCTCTTGAATACAAGCATCATCTTATCTGTAAACCCTTTTTATAATTCTGTTCGCATTCATCGCTCCCTGTTGACTAGGGATCACATATGGTGCTCTAGACATGTGGAATGAAATTACTTCAAAACTATTCCTGAAGAAATTAACTGGATTAATACACTCTACCAATGCAGCCAAAGAGGGCTTGAACAGACAAAATATTTAATGAACTGAAGCCTACGCCAGATGAAAAAGCAGTTCAATAACAATTAGAAAGACTACCGAACAGATTAAGGAAACTTACGAAGCAAAGGGATGTTTCCTATACAAGTGTTGTTGTAACTCTCCTATAGTCCACACTGCTGCTCTACATGCTGGATTAGTTCTAGAATCAAAGCACATTTCAGGTGTTAAAACCTCCCACAACATTCTGAACTTACATAAATCACTATTGTAACGTTAAAGTGAGATCATGCAAGAGTCTTTCTGACCTTCAAAAAATCTTCCTCAGTTTTATCATAGAGATAAAGGCACCTGAGCAAGGTGTGGGAAGCTTTGGGGGCTCCAGGCATCCCCCACACTAGCAAAAGTTAAAGTTCTCTGGAAAAGGAAACGTCATCATGAAGGACTTGCCTTTGGGGAATGCTATCCCCTCCCCACAGAAGTGATCCACAAAGATAAGGCCTTCTTTAACAATGACTTGAGGTCCATTGCAGAGAACAGGTGGGAAGAGCTGAACCCCTCCTCCACCTCTTCATTGCCTGAAAGCTTACTTTGTTCCTTTTTGGAAGGCAGGGGGGGGGAACCAAGACTGCCACGCTGCCCTCATGCTTACAGGATGGAAACTCACTGTCAGCTTCCCTATTGGAGGTACTTTTGCAAGCAGCAAGATGAACGCTTCTTAGATGCAATGGCAGCACAGTCACATGACCACTGCATCTCAGGAGTGGTTGGCCAAACCTCTGAGAAGGAAGCCAAGCCAAAGTTCCACTCAACTTCCACTGGAAACTACCAAAAATTATTTATTGCTGTTCAAATGGGCATGTCCTAGGATTGCTGGCTCAGCAAGTAATATATATTTTTTTTATGGCTTCACACTCTCCCAGAATAAACAGCACATCCTCTATTAAAAATGCCAGTGACATTTACAATATTAGATTAGAAACAGTTTAGGATCTAGTTAGTCAAACCTCAAAGCAATATAACCTCTCAAATCCTTGCATATTACACCACAAATCACAGTTACATAAGGGAACTGAAAATCAATAGGGTTAATAGAACAGAATTTCATTATTAAATCCCCAGTGGCATAAGAGGCTAAAAATTCACTTTTAGGGCAGTTTGGACAACTTTTATGGTAGTTTATATAAGCAAGGAGCCATTAGATTTAGCTCATTGCTAGTTATTAAGGAAGAAACATTTGAACATTAGCTACAAAAGGGAAGAGTGCCTCTGTCTCAACAAACCATAATAATTTTACTGTCTATACCCACCCATCTGACTGGGCTGTCCCAGGCTGCTTCCAACATACATAAAAACATAATAAACATTAAACAAGCTTCCCTATACAGTGCTGCCTTGTCAAATGTTTTCTAAAGGTTGCATAGTGGTTCAGGGGTTGCATAACTCCATCCCTCCAACATTTCTCTGATGAGAAAAGGGACATCCTAAGGAAAAGTGGGACATTCTGGGATCAAATAAGAAATCGGGGTGACTTCTTTAAATCTGGAATTGCCTCTGGAAAATAGGGACACTTGGCGTGTCTGGTATTCTGTACTACAAGCTCCTCAGTATTTTGCTTAGTGCTTTGTACACGGCCTAAGGCAATGAGGGCCAAATTCAATGAGATTGTTGCATTAGTGGAAGGCAGCACAAAGATTCTTGATAGGGCAATGAGAACTTCCTCCTCTCCTCGGCCCACATGATTCCCAGATCTGCTCAGGAGGATCTGGGGATCCCCACAGCAGATTTAAGGAGGGAGGGGGGGAGAAGGTTCTGTTTTGCAAGGAAAATCCTTGCACCAATGGAACCTTTGCCATAGCGCTACATCAAATACAACTCTGAGTTCATTAAATTTTCATCTGCTTAATTTCACCATGCAGCCTCTCCCTTTGAGCCAAATTACCCACTTAAAAAAAAAAAAGTATTCAGTGTTAATGCTTTCGGCAGATTTGTTCTTTAGTACGCACAAAGTCCTCGATAGTAATCTTCAACGCATCAATAACAATGGGTGTAACTTAATTAAGCAATAACCCCATTTTCTCAAGGCGTTAAGGGATGTGACTATTAGAATGGCTCATCATGAGTTCAAGCTTTATGTTTGTCACATGTTAATTTGCAATTACGCATTATCCCACTGAATGTGTAAAACGAAACACGGATTCATTACCAAACAATAGGAACAAACTGGGACATAATAAGTCTGTCATCCTTGCTATATTTAAAACAAATGGCATTAACTCACTTTCATAATAGAGAAGTCATAACATCTACTTTTATACAAAAATCTTCTGAGTGATATTTTCAGTATTTTTAAAACCAAATTCAAATGTACCTAAACACTTTGCTGTGTTTAGGTAATTTAGAGCTGTGCTGCATTTAGGTAATTTAGAACCCGCTGCTCATTAAATTCTCACAGCAAGGCACAACATAAAAACATAATAAAATGAAACAACAATAAATAAAAAATCAAGCTGCAACAGCAATAAATCAAACTTACTTTACTGCACCATGAGAGTGACAAAACATCTCCAATCAACTAACCAAATGCCTGAGTAGAGGAAAATATTTCTACAAGGGTTTTTAATGTCCACCCAATCTCAAATACCGGGCTGGGCAGTCGAGCAAACACCTACTGTAGGCCCTATGCCATATAGGACTTTACACATCAATGCAACACACTGAGCTTGGTAGCTAACTGACAGTCAGTGCAGTTCCTCCAGAACTGGTGTTATGTTTGTGGGTAGCCACCAACTTTACTGTTGCTTTCTGTACCTGCTGCAACTCACAATCCAAGCCCACAGGCAGACCTATATAAAGCACATTGCAGAGATCCAACTGTGAAGCTACCAGTGCATGGACCACTGTGACTAAGCTAGACTGACAGCTAGACTGGTAACCAGGAGTGACTGCCAAGACCATATAACACCGGTCCTGAAAGACCTACATTGGCTCCCAGTACGTTTCCGAGCACAATTCAAAGTGTTGGTGCTGACCTTTAAAGCCCTAAGCGGCCTCAGCTCAGTATACCCAAAGGAGCGTCTGCACCCCCATCGTTCTGCCCGGACACTGAGGTCCAGTTCCGAGGGCCTTCTGGCGGTTCCCTCACTGCAAGAGGCCAAGTTACAGGGAACCAGGCAGAGGGCCTTCTCAGTAGTGGCGCCTGCCCTGTGGAACACCCTCCCATCAGATGTCAAGGAAATAAACAACTATCTGACTTTTAGAAGACATCTGAAGGCAGCCCTGTTTAGGGAAGTTTTTAATGTTTGATGTTTTATCATGTTTTTAATATTCTGTTGGGAGCTGCCCAGAGTGGCTGGGGAAACCCAGCCAGATGTGCGGGGTATAAATAAATAATATTAATTACTACTACTACTATTACTACTACTATCCCTGGCCCAGGAAGAAATGCAGCTAGTGTTGGTGAAAGGAACTCTTTGCCATGGAGCTGATTTGTGCCTTGGATGGAAAAGGTCCTTCTGATTGAGCAGAAGGAGCTTGCTGGCAGAGGAGATGAGAAGGTGGTTTCTTCTGTTTCCCCCAGTAGCCCCCATCACCATCTCCCACAATACAGTGGTACCTCAGGTTAAGAACTTGATTCGTTCCGGAGGTCTGTTCTTAACCTGAAACTGTTCTTAACCTGAGGTACCACTTTAGCTAATGGGGCCTCCTGCTGCCGCCGCACTGTTCTCATCCTGAAGCAAAGTTCTTAACCTGAGGTACTATTTCTGGGTTAGCGGAGTCTGTAACCTGAAGCATCTGTAACCTGAAGCATCTGTAACCTGAGGTACCACTGTATTCTGGAGGGTTCCCCAACTCCCAGGACCAGAGTCAGTGGATGGTGGTGCTGGGCGCTTCATGGTAAGACAGAATTGGCAAAATTCACCTTCCCATCCAAACTATTGTTAGTCCTCGATTGTTATAATTTGTACAGGATTTTACAAAATGTTGCAGAAGAGAAGCAATTCATAAATCAGGTGTACTGAGTGCTACATATATTTATAATTTTGTGTTTTATGAGGATCATTTGAGTATTATTACTAATGTATTTTACTTTTTCTTTAGTTTTTTCTGTTTGATATATTGGATTGCTTTATTCTCTTTAGTCTAGTTTGAATTTTATGGTACATTAGGTTGAAAGCCTTTAATAAAATTGATTTTTAAAAGGAAAGGAATCAGGTATGCTGGAAATCCAGAAGATACTCTCTAGATTCTGTGGGTCCTCTGCGATTGACATATGAGATCAACCATAATCAAGACAATGAAACCAGTGTAGCTAATTTAGTATGTCCATTCATTCAGATCTTATTCCTAAATACGCTGAAAGGAAAAAGTATGCACAGGCCTTCATACTGCCAAGCAGTACTGAAAAACATTATTCTTCTGTTTGTATGTTCTCATGTATATACCCTTGCTGAGACTGATTTGTAGAAAGGATGATGTTTTTAAAAAATGCTGCCAAGCCTCAGCAGCTAGATAGCTGCTTGAAAGATTTTTCATCTGCTAGATAGTTCTGATGTAATCGAGATTAACTCTCTTAATTAAATCAAGCTCAAAAGGTTCACAACTCCCAAGGAGACTCATGATAAAACTTCCTGGCTTCACCCAACCCTTTCCACATTGAGTCACATGAGGAATCCTTGCACATCGGTGGAGGGTTTGGGCATCATCTTCTAAGGTGCGTGGTCCATTGAGCATTTCCAGTGACCCATTTAAACTGTTTCACAGAACACAAACAACTTTCTCCTCCAGCTGCTCATTACAGAACATGAATACTAGCGTGCAAGCTTGTACACGTTTGTCTGCTGTTATCAGTCTGTTCATTGAGGAATCCCTTATGAGTTTCCATGTTTCAAAACCTAGCAAGTTCAGCTCTTGATAGCTTTGTCAAGTTTACTTTAATGGATAACTTTACTTTTATGAAGCTGCGGAGAAGCTGCAACTGACCAGAACAAAGGCAAAAATGAGATATCGCTTTTCAAGGCTTCAAGGAAGAGGGGTGATTAATGCTAAAACAAACCTCTCTGTCTTCTGCTCAAAGGGGGTAAGCTGGCAGGTTCATCATTCTTGGAATAGAATTGAACACACCCTATTATGGCTGGTTAGGAAACATATTTATATGCTCTAAGTGTCCCAGGATCAATCATGATTTTATCTCTGTTAAAT